GGTTGCCTGGACGGAAAGCTGGTGTGTATACCTCTTAACCACCAGTGACTCTGACCTGCTCTGCACTGTAGGTGTATTTGACATGCACTCTGGAAGGTTTGCAGGAAAAAGTAAGTGTTTGGTGTTGTATTTTCACACATTACAGAGCGGGGTTTGAACCGGGGTTGCCTGGACGGAAAGCTGGTGTGTATACCTCTACACCACCAGTGACTGTGACTAACTCTGCACTATAGGCGTATTTGACATACACTCCGGAGGGTTTGCAGGAAAAAGTAACTGGTGTTGTATTTTCACACATCGCTGAGCAGGGTTTGAACCAGGGTTGCCTGGACGGAAAGCCGGCGTGCATACCTCTCCACCACCAGTGACTGCGACTTGCTCTGCACTCTCGGCATATTTGACATGCACTCTGGAGGGTTTGCAGAAAAACTGGTGTATTTTCACACGTCACTGAGGGGCGGTTGAACCATGGTTGCCTGGACGGAAAGCCGGCGTGTTTACCTCTACGTTTTCTTCAGCTGTAAATGCCTTACGCCATGGTCATTTTTTTTTCCGCAAAAATCGCCTTCCAATACATAGTCGTTTTTTTCGGCTCAAAACACCTTACCCTACATGATCATTTTTTTTTTTGTTAAAAACGCCTTACTATACTATGTCGTTTTTTTCGGCAAAAAACTTCTTACTATACGTGGTCGTTTTTTTGTCCAAAAACGCCTTACTGTACATGGTTGTTTTTCTCGGCAAAAAACTCCTGACTATACATGGTTGGTTTTTTCGGCTACAAACGCCTGACTATACATGGTCGTTTTTTTTTCGCCAAAAACGCCTTACTGTACATGGTCGTTTTTTTCGACCCAAAACGCCTTACTATGCTTGGTCATTTTTTTCAGGCCAAAACACCTGACTATGCATGGTCGGTTTTTTCGACCTAAAACGCCTTACTATGCATGGTTGTTTTTTTTCGGGCCAGAACGCCTTACTATGCATGGTCGTTTTTTTCGGGCCAAAACGCCTTACTATACATGATCGTTTTTTTCGGCCCAAAACGCCTCACTAAACATGGTCGTTATTTTCGGCTAAAAGAGCTTTCATATACATGGTGACTCAAAACGCTTTATTGTACATGGTCGTTTTTTTTTTCGGCTCAAAACGCTTTACTGTACATGGTCGTTTTTTTCGGCTACAAACGCCTGACTATACATGGTCGTTTTTTTTTCGCCAAAAACGCCTTACCCTACATGATCTTTCTTTTTTTGTTAAAAACGCCTTACTATACATGGTCGTTTTTTTTCCGGCTAAAAACGCCTTACTATACGTTGCCGTTTTTTTCGGCTAAAAACACCTTACTATAGATGGTCTTTTTTTTCGGCTAAAAACACCTTACTATATACATGTTCCTTTTTTAAGTTAAAACGCCTTAGAGAAGGCACGGAGGCAGACAAATATGTTCCTTTATTTGTTGAGACTGTGAAAACCATCAATAAAGTGTAAGTTTTAAAAAAACAACACCACAGCTTTTTCGGAGCCGCAACAAAAATATTTAATAAAGCAGCGACACAGTTCACTGAACCAACAGCAAGTTATAACATTGTAAACATGTCTCCAGCAAAGAGACATCTTGGGGTCGACATATTACTGTAATGACCATACACAAGGCGCACCGGATTTTAAGGGGCGCTGTGAGCTTTTTAGAAAATTCGGTGCGCCTTTTTGCGCGGAAAATACGGTACAGTCAATATAGACGGCGGATACAACCTGAACAGATGCAAAACTCTAGAAAAAACAATTATTGCAAGAAATTATGAAAATACTATAGTGAGTCATGGCGGTCTTTTTACTTGATCAAAAAATAAATCCACACGTCTATGTTTCTGGGTGTCACCTCACCTGCTTTCAAAAATCCAGTTCCGTCAAAATAAGTTCCTCGTTCGGTGGCAGCGAAGCATCTTCCGACCATGTGACTGGAGGTTGGCGTGGACATGTCAAGCTTAAAGTCTTCAGTAAGTGCCTCGGTTCGACCTGAGACAACCGGGCCACAAGTAAAACGCCTTCAAATCTAGTTGGAATATATTTTTGGACCTTTGCAAAGAATTCCTACCCGGTGCGGCAGCTTTTGTGCTGACGGGACCTCCCACCATCTTTAAGCGACGCAGGCACCCGCTGATACTGTAAAGAATCTAAAAGACAGAAATTTGCGGTCTTTGAATTGAGTACTTTTCTCATGTTCGTCTCCTTTTTTGCTTTCCATTACCGGTCCGATCCTCTTGGTGGTGTAATTGTGCGGTAGACCACCAACATACAGCATTCCCACCACGTCCAGCAAGTCCGCCTGAAAATCACGAGCAAATAAGCCCCAAGGAACACGAAGCATGAATACTGATGCTTTTTGGAACAAAGGCAATAATTGCCACTCATACTCCAAAAAAAAAAAAAAAAAAAAAAGAAACATGATTAACCTTTTTAGGGCTAATCATCTGTTTACTGTATCGACCATCCACCACCAGGAGAGCTCTCTGCTTGCTACGAGTTACACGGATCTGAGACAAAAATACATACCAGTACATAATTAATGATAACAGTACACACACACACACACAAAAAAAGGACATGATGATAGAAAGGAAGTCGGACTAGAATGCATGTCTCCTTTCCGGCATTCATTGTGTGGGTGAGTGTGTTTTAACTCATTCCAAGATGCAAGTAAGTAATAATAAACAATGTGAATGTGGTCCAAATAAGTGTGACCAGTATTTTCCACACAATGGAATCTATGGCAGCAAGTCTGGCAAAGATTAAAGAAATTATGACGGCAGTCAGACAATAAGCGGGAACTGAAACCCTGAAGTCAGTCATGTGAATCACAAGCCCACCAGTGATCATCCAGTTTCATGACTGAGCCGCTGGTGGCATCGTGGTACGCTTGTGCGCGGGCAGCGTAGAATCAATTCCCGCTCCGTGACGATGCGAATGCGGGTGTGTATGGTTGTTCAGCTCTAATTGTGCCCCGTGACTGACTGGCGACCGGTTCAGGGGTTATTTCGGCTTTCGCCCTAAATCAACTGGGATAGGCGGCAGCAATTCCCGCAACCCTCTTCGGGACTAGCGGCATTCAAAGTGGATGGAAAGATTTGAATGAATATGGATTACAATTTGTAACTTTTTTTCCATGCACCTTCAAAATGGAAAGATTTTTTTTTACTATAATACACTGCTTTTCATATTGAGCTATTTTAAATATGCCAAAATACACACACACACCAAAAAAATTACAGACCAACTTCGTTAAATTTCTATTCATAACGCCCAATGAATAAAGAAGAGTTCGGTTGCAGCTGCAAATTGCGCCGGTTGCTCCCCTGTCGATGTCCCTGCACACCATCGCTGAATGTGTGGCCGTCCCACCTTATGCCAGTTGCCATCGTTGATGGAGAAGGGGACGCATCCAGACGTGTTGCCGTGACCGAGGTCATAACCCAGGCACACCTGTCCATCTTTGATCTGCGCCAGCACAGAGGAGTGGGGGACAAGTGCTAAAGAGTTGAGACAGTAACTAATATCCGTGGAAACAAGTGTTCAACATGATACCTGAATGGAGACAAAGTCCGCGTGGTTGATTCTGGCCATGTACAGGACCAGTCCTGACTCCTCCCGTGTCCTCAGCTCAAACTCCAAAATCAACCTGAAGTACACGCACATGAATGAAAACAAGTGTGCCAAGGAAATGAATTATTTGACCGTTGCCAACGTTTGCGTTCCAATATGCGCATACTGAATTGGTTGTCAGTGTTTTCTGTTCTGTTCATTTTCTTCAAAGTTCGAGTAGGAGGGAAAACACCCTCCACTTCCCAAGGCATCGTTGAGTCTCCTGCTTCTAAACACCAACCTTTCTCTCACTTTGGCGTCATCGAAGGTGAAGCTCATGTGACTGTTTCTGCCCAGCCCGAACTGGTAGGACTTGTCCAGTGCCACAGGGGCAACAGCCGAGGGGCACGAGTCCTGCAGATTGGGGGCAAACGGTTCGGAAAGAAAGGCAACATGGTCAGTATATTGACTGTTTCCAGCCACAATAAGGTTCCAGACTGTTAGAGATATGTTTCTTTGACCATGTCAATAAAACGCTGAAATTGGCCTTCAACAAGTGTCGTCAGTCAAGCGTTTTTCATATTTCATCAGTTTCATCTCACGTGCACTTGTAGTTTAATCTGTGGCCACGAGGTGTCAGTGTTGCAATACATTACATCAATTATTGGAAGTCCTCTCGTGATTTTCTCATCAGTTTGCCTCAACCTTTTTCTTATTCTTTCATTTCGTTTTTCTGTCCGGTTTCATCTTGGCTTCACATTTTATTGCCTCGGTTGCCCTTTTACTCCTCCCATCTTACCACCTGCATTCTTGTGAGACAAAAGTTCCAGAGACTATTTTGAGTGTGTGTTTGTGTGCGAGTGTGTGTTTCTTAATCTCCTCTGGTCTCTTGTTCTCTTTCAAGTTGAAGACACTCGGCGCACGGCGACCTTGCTTTGTAACCGCCGACACTCACCTCTTATCATGCTCTGTCTTCATATCCGCTCCTGCTCAACCTCTGCCTTTCTTCTCTTTCTCCACCTCACCCAGGCTCCCTCTAACAAAAGAAGACCCTTCTCTCTACTCATTCTTCTCTCCCTCTCCTGCGGCTTTCCTTTAAGCCAACCAAAAGAAAAAAAAAAGCACTGGCTGCCGTCTTCAGAAAGAGTCCTTTCCTCCTCTTCATTGGCCGGGGCCTTCGTCGCCGTCGTCTTCTCCTCCTTCTATCCCCTTTCATTCGCCTCTTCCTCCCTCCTTTTCTCTCATCTCCTCTGTGGCTAACAATGGGGCGATGGTCCTCCATTCAGAGCGGTTAGTCTTTTCTTGGAGGTCACACTGATTGAATGTGAAGTCATTCAGCCACGATTTTATATGTCTTTGTATGTATGTATGTATGCGTGCGTGCGTTTATGCTGCCGCCAGGTTTCCTCCAGAGAAAAGGGTCGAAATGAGTCACTTTTACAGCTTCTCGGAGTTATCTCGAGCCCAAATGTTTCATTACTCCAGAGAGAACCGCTCAGAGACTTTGCCATGTTCATACTGTAAATGAGCGCTCATTACATGCCTTAGTGCTGTTTTCACCTCTTTATGGTCTTTGAGCTGCAACTGTGTAAAGTTTAGAACATGCAAGATGATTCTATTATCCCTAATTGCCCCCAGAGGATTAATATACATTTAGCTATAGCTTTTGCGCTCTGGAGTGCTGGAGTCGTTTCATGAGGAGATGAAGCAGATACATACTGCAAAGAGCACTGATGCGTGATTCACTGCGGCCTACGAATGCATTCTTCCGTTCGTGGATATGATCAAGTATCAATGCAGGGACAAACTACACCGGATTTTCCGCACTAAAAGGAGCACTGGATTATGAGGCGCACCTTCAATGAATGGCCTATTTTGTAATTTTTTTCATATACTGGACGCACTGGATTATAAAACGCAATCTACAATGTATCCACTAGATAGAGCTACGCTCCTTCCGTTCGACTCGAGAGGCGTTCATGAACGCCTCCGAAAAAACGTAAATTAACGATTGCTTCAATGAAACTACGAAAATTGAAAATAATGCATCAAAACAGAAAAGCAAGCGAGGAAATTACAAAATAAATTCTATAGCCCCCCTACAGAATTTATTTTGGCATTCCCTTGAGCATTTCCTGGACTGTCTCAGAAGTGTTTGTTATTTATTCCTTTGTTGTGTACTGTATTCACAAACGAGGAAATCACAAAATAAATTCTGTAGGGGGAGGCTATAGAATTATTTTGTGATTTCCTGGCTTGATTTTCTGTTTTGATGCATTATTTTCCATTTTTGTAGTTTCATTGAAGGAATTGTTAATTTCCGTTTTTCGGAGGCGGTCAAGAACGCCTCTCGAGTCGAACTGAAGAAGAGAAGGCACGGAAGACGGACAAAGACGTACCTGCATTTGTTGAGACTATGAAAACCATTATGTATGGTCAATTGTGTGCAAGTGCGTATACCGTGTCAGCAGTGGGCGAGGCTTCAGCAGAAGTAGGCGTGGCAGCAGGCGCGACAATTGCCGTGGGCTCCTGCAGTCAGTCATCAGGGGGCGGGAAGGAGGGGCTATTATGTGATACAGCCAGGAAGCACATGTAGCCGCTCCAACTAGCAGCAGCATTAGCCATGCAATGATGGTGAGAATGTTTTGTGATAATCTAACACTCAACAGTAACTACTCAAGTATTGCATTGAGCTATATCAAGGATTCGACCATTAATGTATCTCAATGCCAAGGTTCAGGGAACAAAACAAATGGCTGACTGTCTACCCGCCTCTTAGCATCGCATGGACTGCTTTGGCTCCTGCGGGCCCATAAAGCATAGCTGGCATGCACAGTTAGCTTGCACATCAGTGTGACTTCACAGCGCGCGACCGGCTGCTGGAGAGGGAGTTTAGTGGCTCAAGGCTAAAGGGACAATAAAGAACAGTTAATGGGCTGTACGAGTGCGGCGTGAGAGAGCGCTAAGCTAACACAGAAAGGCCACGCCTGCATTGTATCCCTCGGAAATCGGCGCATGATGGAGACGGCGTGTGTTCGCCCTGGATATGATGCTCAAATTAGATGTAAATCAAACGAAAGGCTCATTCATTTATATACGTGTATATAGATGTGTAAATACTAGCGTGTGGATCACTCACGGCAGGAAGTTCCGGAGGCGAAGTAACAACTGCAGGAGTGGGTGCCGGCTGGTGCGGTTTGGATGCTTCCTCTTCCTTCTCAGCCTCTTCTGTAGGATAGGGAAGAGGAAGGAGCGGGGCAAGGCTGGGGCACTGGCCGATTTCAGCGTCTTCAAAGGACACCGACTGGGAGAAGTCTGACAGACTGTGACCGGGACAAGAACAACAGTCAGTTCAAAATGCATTGCAATCAGTGTAATGCCTTATGTACGAGTCAAGAGCAAGGAACGATGTCATTGTTGGGCTTCCTTCATGGAATCAAACCGTATCACCCATATGTCGTTCTGCCTCTGATGGTGTCGTTTTTGCTTTCATATACTTGCATCAAATCTACATCCAATGGTGACATACTAAAAATAGACAGCCAGGCATTCTGGGGGACGAGTGAGAGACGAGGAGGCATCACATGGGGAGGAGATGGGTTAATAGGGGTGAAGTGAGGTGAGAGATGGACAATCAGGCCCAATGAGAGTCATGAATATGTTGATGCAGTGGGACAGAGCCATTACGGCAGATCAGGCACGAAGACACAAAGACCGTATTGGCATTGTCACGCTGAAGCTTGCCCTTATGGAATTCCATGCGGTGGGGCCAAGGTGAACATCTCAGGTCTAATGAAGTGAAGTGATGTGATCAAGCGGGCCTTGGTGAACATCACGGAATGTCAAAAAGTGTTTCGTGCGGTCACGTGAAACCGTGGATGACGAGGAGAAGCGTCGGAATGGCTTTTGGGGTTGACCTACACAGAGTTGACCATGAGATTCCAGATGCATCCCTGGAATGGGACGTTGGCTCTGTTGGACGTCTGCTCCACTTCCGCGGGAATACCGCCGAGGAATAAACGCTGCAAGACGATTGGCTGGTCATTGGGAAGCGCAGACTCCCTCTTTGCCTCCTCGTCCACTTGAACGGCAAAAGATCTGATGAAAAAACGCACACTGTCACATTGGAACATTTATTTTCAGAAGTATGACGCTGCGAAACAGGAGACTCATGGCCAAACATTTTGGCCATGGTGCTTTTACATCACAGCGAGAGAAAACAAAAAAACAACAACAAACGGTGTCAGATGAGGAAGACGTGCTCCAACCCTGGCTCACTAACCTGCCAGGTAATCTCTCGATGCGCAGCGAGTGCTCTCTGCCGTCACTCAGGATGCCTTGCTCGGGCCGCCTGATGACTCGACGCAGACTGTGGCTGCCCGTGTACACCAACACCTCCAGGGAGCCTTTGTTCAGCATCACAGAGAGGAAGGGCTGAGGGAGAGAGAGAGAGAGCGAGAGGATGAATTGGACTCCATCAGGCCTTGAAAGGACGCGCATACAGTACACCAGATAGTTAGGAAGATGAAGCGGAGCCATTTCAACAACGGCGCAACACTAAAGAGCCCATTAGTTTATGATTGCTTACACTCTACAGCCATTTCATATGAATAATAATTGCTCAGCACAACGTTTGCTTTTGTTCAGGTTTATTCCCATTTGTGGAGGGTTCAGACAATGGCCTGACCGTAAAATGTTCAACAATTTCAGTCAGGTGTTGTGTTTTGTTCTCAAGAAAACATTGGCCACATTCCTAAATTGTATTTGGTTATTTCGATTATTTAAAAAAAAAATTAAAAAAAACAAACATGTACCCGCAACTTTTTTTCACCTTCTAGGCTTAAATATGCGTACCCTATTTTCCGCACTAAAAGGCGCACTGGATTATGAGGCGCACCTACAATGAATGGCCTATTTTGTAATATTTTTCACATATTGGACGCACTGGATTATAAAACGCAATCTACATGAAGCTAAAATCCTTCCGTTCGACTCGAGAGGCGTTCATAACCTCCTCCGAAAAACGTATATTAACGATTACTTCAATGAAACTACGAAAATTGAAAATAATGCCTCAAAACAGAAAATCAAGCGAGGAAATCACAAAATAAATTCTGTAGCCCCCCTACAGAATTTATTTTGGCATTTCCTTGCGCGCAGCTCCAACAGAACGATCAGATGTCAGTAAAATGTAGGCGACTGGACTGCCTCAGAAGTGTTTGTTATTTATTCCTTTGTTGTGTACTGTATTCACAAACGAGAAAGTCACAAATTGTCGCTTTCACACCTGATCGAATGAAGTGCAGCAAAGGGGAAAATAAAGCAGAACGGGATCGGATTCAAAAGCAACCGTTTAACTCCCAACTTAAATCGAACTTGTCCAGCCGCATGTCGACTTGTGTTAGACCTTTGCGGAGGGGCGAAGAACGGCTGCCAACGTGTGCGGACAATGTCGACGCGTAGAGGAGCGAGAGCTTTGAAGAGCGGTGAGGAGAGAGGCAAAAAAAAAAAAGGGGGAAAGTGGGCGAGTGTGGGGTCCATGAAAGAGGAAGAGGGGGAGCGGCAGCAGAGGAGTGGAGAAAGCCGAGAGGAAAGGATAACAAGAGATGAGAGGAACGTTGAGGAGAGGATAATAGGGCGACGAGATGAGAGGGCAGAGAGCAGAACAGCAAGAGAGAGACGGAGAGACGAGGGAGCGGGAGAGAGACAGAAAGGTGGGAGAGAGCAGCGGTGCAAGGTCAGGCTCATTTGAATTTTAATTCACTGTGTGCCACAGGGCGAAGTGGGAGACAATTTACCACTTGAAAATGGAATTTCAATTTGAGGTCGGGGGACAAATTGGACCGAGATGTAGCTACAACATGCCTCTCGATGTGCCGCTTGCGCACGCGCGCACATACACGCATTCAAGACACACACCGCCACACGTGAATTGAGACATTTGTGCGAATGAGCGGCGGACACGTACACACACAAGCATGAAATCAAACGCTGACATGCTTGACAAAACTTGCCCACTCACCACATTGACAGGAAAGAAGGCGGGCGCACTTCTTTGCCGCGCTTTTTAGATTTGACACTTTCCAATCGCCTTTACGACTCAATTCGGCACAATTCAACTTTATTTAGTCCATATGTCTGACGCGTAACTCGCCGGGACTACACAAGCGGAGGTAAGCAATCCTGGTGAAAGTCGGAGACGCACCACAGCAGCAGACTTTTTCGAGCAGAAGAGGGGAAAGCGGCTGCTTTATTCCTGTGGTGAGTGACATGAAGGTAATGTCGGGGGTTTTTTTTCACCAATGGAAACGGGTTATTTTGAATGTTCCAGAATTCCCGAATTGTGACCTAAAGCCAAATATTGACTGCACGCAAACGTAGTTCTTCATTTTCATTTGTCACTTTCCTCTTTGGCTACCTTCCCAAATTCCAGTTCACCTTCTCTACGCCTCCTTTGTTCTCACGCAATGCTCTCATTTTCTTTTCAAATGGTTTCGCCCTTCAAATGCCTCACTTTGACCTCCAAATCGCCTCCATCTCTTTGTTTCTTGTTCTCTTTCCTCCGCCGCCGCCACCATTCCGTCCCGCTCTTCGACACCCATTAGTCAGGGCCAAGTTGAGTTGATGGTGTTCTTAACCTCGCTTAACCTTTCCACACGCGCACACACCGTCCCTTCCAGCGTCGTTAGTAAAAATAGATTTATGCGCCCAACAAGCAGTAATGATGGATAAACCAGAGGTAACCCTTTGTCCTCACGCGCATCCACGCACACAAACGTTGCCTTCAGTTAAAATCACACGCGCACCCGCAATGTTCACAGTGACATTCATGTTCTGCTGAGTGGCACTATTAGATTAGGATAGTCTTAAGAATAAATCTGTTTTTATTATGCCAAAAGGTGTGATAATACACTATTACCTGTGTTCTGTTACTGATGTTTTACAGGAAAAAAGAATCCCTAAGGAGCCCCCCCCCCCCGGACCCCCCCCCCCCCCCCCCATTTAGCATGCTCTATTGATCACTTTCAGGACACATAATAACCCCACATTAAGATCCTCTCATTGTCTCCTACAACACATTATTGTTATGCTGCATTTGAATACACGTGTGTGTGTGTGTGTGTGTGTGTGTGTGTGTGTGTGTGTGTTAACAACAAATAATTCAGAGTAGAGGTAAAATTATGATAGGTGTGCATTCGTGTCCGTGCATATGCAGCATAATGAGCACTGTCGACACCCGAGTGAAACCTCGCCAAGCGATGAGATTGGAATGATGGCGAAGTCATACACTTGGTGTAATAGGTGCTGTGTGTGTGTGTGTGTGTGTGTGTGTGTGTTTGTGTGTCTACTTACGTATCTGTGTGCGCATGTTTATGGGCATCCGTGTCTAACTCATGTTTCAGAAAACTGGCCCATTTGCCAGCAAATGCAAATCTCATTAAAATCCACTTGGGCATTCACTTTGGAAAAGTGTGCGCATTTGTGTGTGTGTGTGTCTGTATGCAATAAACTCACCTCTCCTGATTGTCGGCGTTTCCTCTTAAAGATGACATTCTTGTTACGGACCTGTGGTGGATAGCAATACTTCGTTTTCAACTACCATTGCATTTTAACGTAGCTTATCTTGTTACCAGGTTACAGGGTGCAGGGAAGGGTTCAATAAAGGGGTGACTGCTTGATTTACAAGCTTGCAGATTCACAAAAATAAAAAATAAAATAAAAAGGACTGCTAACCTGTTGGCTGATGGGCGGTGGTCCACCCACGGCTAAGAGAAGCGTGCCAGTGTCCACCTGGGTGCTGAACGACAGACTGATTTCAGTGCCGACCGCCAGGGAGAGCCCAGCCAGCTCCACATATCCCGGCTTGGAGAAGCTTACTGTGTATAAGTTCTAGGAGACAATGCGATGCACATTAGACAAAATGTTGGACTTTTTTAAGTGCATCGACAGTCACAAAGACATGCAGATAAGCTCGGAAAAGGAAGGACACCTGAGGAGATTGGAATGAATACCCCAGCCGCCCCCTCCCTAATGTAAAGTACACAAGCGTGGCCTTTCAACTTCTTTGTATGGATGCTTGAGTGTATAAATAAATTCCATTAGTGAATAGAGAACCCTGATGAATGCCTCGGATGACTTTGGAAAAAACTCCATTGTGGAGTCAGTGAAGCGCAGTTGCATAACTTGCAGGAAAACAAGCTTAAAGGGCATCTGCATCAGAATGTATGGATCAAAGTTGCACTTATTTAAGTCACGTTATGATCTGCGCTCGAGCTAATGCAACATGAGTTGATGTCCTAACTGGATAAAAAAAAAATTTGAACTAAATGAGTGACTTTTTCCAAATCTTAAAGTCAATGGAAACAACATTTCGCTTGCTTTTTTTTTTTTTTTTTTTTTAATTAAAGAAATGACTGTGCTACCGACCCTAGAAATAAACTCTGTTCCAACACTGAACACGACTGAAGATTAATATTGGCGTCTACGTTAGCGGTAATGCAACTTGAAAGCTGTCCCGGCAGATGGCCTCCATTTGGACTCTTTTTGTTCTTTCTCCTAATAAGTGATCTTACCAAGTACGCCAGATCCCACATCGCATGAGGCGTCCTGATCATGACAACGTGGAACTGCAAGCTGATACTTCAGATGCAATATGCTTTTCAAGGCCAAGTGAGTAGTGTGCTTACCTCTACATTACATCCTTTGGTAACACCGGTGTAATCAGAGCTACTGAGGAGATTATAAGGAGTTCGGGATACTTCAATCTCCCGAAGGCAGCCGACATAGCGCTTCAGCGTGACCTCCGGCCTAGAAAGATATTACAATCATCAGACTTTCCAATCTCTTAAAAGTCTCATGTAATAGGATCATGTCTTCATTATTGGAGCCTTGAACGCTTTGGCAGCGTATGATCGGCGTCGACCTAATATCAGAGTGAGTATAATCTGAATGTGGCATTTGTCCTTGTTATGAAAAAATTGGATTCATGAGGTCTGCGCATGCACTGTTTTTGGATTCAAGCCAAGTTGATACGGACGCGAACATATTTCGTCCAACTCGTGCACCTTTTTGTCACTGCCATTGCACAATTTGGTGTTTGCTCTCCCATCCTCAGGAAAAAAACAATTCCTTTCATATATGAATTCAAAATATGACAAATGTTACAAACTAGACATTGTTGCTGCTGGAAGGACAAATGACACATCCGGGTGTAGAAAGGGCAGAAAAAAAAGGTGTTTTTTTTGTTTGTTTTTTTTCCTCAGCCATAGTGTGGAAGCGCAACAGCCATTCGAGACCGACAAACACGCACGCACGCACACAAATTGTGGGCTAAATTGCACTCCAGCATCAGTGTGGCCAGCCGCATGCAGACAGCAATTTACAGTTCCACTTGGTGTTTAAAATGAACTTGTGTTGCTTTACCTGGATTTCATGCTGTTCAGAAAACACACACGACAATCGCATATTAGCACGCATTTCTCACCAATGAGGAATACCTTTACATTTGGTCTTAAATTCGAGAGGTTAAACGAATGCTGAGGCATGACAGAAAAATATAGTTTCTCCAAGTTAGTCTACTCTGAGGTTCCGGTGTAACCAAGCAAGCCTCAGCTAGCGTAAACGTGCCCCGACAGAAAGACATTACCTGTAGTTTCCAATGGTAGGCAGACCTCCGAAATAAATGCTCTGCTTCTCCTTGAGGTTGAGCCCAGTGGCTGTACCCAGAGATGTTGCCCCTATCTTCTCCTCGGCATTGGTGTCAATGTCCACGATGGTCACTGTGGCTGCACGAATAGTTGACAAGGGCATGAGCAAAAGCAGGAAATTGGCATGTGTCGTTTGAGACGCAATCTATCAAACGCCGATGTTGTCTACCTTGCTTCTTGTTGCGAGACATGGTGAGGGATTTCCAGCGTCCGTCGTTTTGACGGTGAGCCGAGATGACGCTGCCGACACCCGATCCCAGATCGAAGTTCATCTTCACCTTGCCCCCTGCCAGCTCCAAGGACATAAAGTCTTTCTAGAAGGGAGCGAAAGGTGGCGGGAAGATCCATTTCGGTGTGTAGAAAGACATTTGGGACATATACAAATTCAAAGTGGTGTGTGTGGTGATACGCAGCCTGGCTACCATATCGTCAGTTAAAGATCCATTTTGGTGTGTGGAAAGACATTTGGGACATATACAAATCCAAAGTGGTGATACGCAGCCTGGCTACCATATCGTCAGTTGCTAGATACATGAGCAGTGCGTCGGAGGCGAATGTTCGGAACTTGAATGTAACACTGGAAACATTCGGGTTCCATCTTGTGGGTCGTCCCACCGCGGCGTATCCTTCGCCGTCCAGCTGGACAGTCCCTTCACCATTTGACGCCTGGGGGCTAAGAAACAGCAATAAAGAAAGAAAGAAAATGTCTATGAAGTCATGTGTGAAGCAGTGGAGGACTTTAAACCCATCTGGTTTCCTGTCAAAGAGGGATGCAGGAGAAATCCTCAAAAAGTTCCTGCTCTGTATCAATTACAATCTTTAAAGCATTTTTTTTTTTTTTTTTTTTTGCCTGATCAGGCTACAGCAGAAACGTCAAAGCACGTTTTCCACATTTAAACATTCACGACTTGGCAGTAACCAGCAGAAGGAGCAGCCAATCCAGCACTAACTAGTCAAAATCTGCTCTGCGTCAATTACACGTTCATTTTTTCAATTTCAATGTTCTTTTTTTTTCCCCACTGAGATTTGGCTAGATATTCATCAACGCAATACCAACATAATGTATTGATATCTGTCTCCGCATACCTGACGACGCATCCTTTACAGTCTCCCTGCCTGTCCCTGTAGTTCCAAAGTCCAATGGGTTTACCATCAAGGAAGGTTTCCCCCATGCAGCCCGTGAACGTCGTCGTCCTCACGGCATCCGCTTTCTAAAAGGGAAAAGGAGGACATTGACGACCACGCTAAGGGGAGGAAGTCGCCCAAATCGCATTAAGTTACCTTGATGGTGCCGAGTATCCCGCCCACAAACAAGTACGCGTTCTGGTCCACATCCAGGATGGTGTAGGTTACCGGCGAGTTGGCGCTGTTCGGGCTCGGTACGAAACCGGCCCTCGGACCTTCGAGGGGGTACACTAATATGGTACCGTTCAATCCGTTACTGCAGACAGACAGAAATTAGGAAGTCATTTTATTTGCCAGCGCGCATTTCCTGCAGGGCGTTTACGACCACGTGTGTTCCGTCACATGAAATCAGCCTTTATGAACCGGCAGTGGGGGAAAAGATGAATGAGAGAAAGTGATCGCGGAGACAGTTTTGCAGCAGGCGGGGACCTCTGAGATGTACGCTGAAATTGATCTGCCACCTTGAATTTGTTGTTTCATCGTGCCCAACAGTTGGGAAATGGAAAGTCAAAGCACCGCCGCCCCTCCCGCCCTCGCCGTGCTCAACTCTCTCTGTCTTTACTGAAAAAATGTGCATGGGCATGGTGGCGCCCTGGATGCTATGTAAGAGCCAACGGCTGACAAGGATGCAAAAGGTTTGATTTCCCAAGCGAAACGTCGTCATTCCATTGGAAGAAATGACGTTCTCTTGTCGTCTCGGTTTTATTTAGGTTTCTGTTTCTGGCTGTTGTCGGGTCATTGAGTGAGTCATCGGGTCAATGACTTCTCATGTTCCCATAAGAGTGAAGCAGGAGACATTAAACTACTTTTCCAGCACTCGCATCATGTGTCTCTTTTACGTTTGAGTGTGTGATGTCGTCTTATTTGTATTTCTGCTCTTTAAATATACGCCTGTGTTTTCGCTTTGATCTAAAACCCTGCATTTAATGATCCCGTGCTCCGATACATGCGACAAAAGCGTAACATGGCGGATTAATTGGTTGGTGATGTCTTTTGATGTTTGCTGCGATGTCTTCTGCATCGCTGCGTTGCATCCAATTTGCGTATGCAGATGAATAGTGACGCATACGTCGCTTTTTCAAAGGAATAATGACATTGTTTGTACTGCCGCAAAATAAACATCAAAAGAAAATAACGTGACGATACGGCACGTGCCAGTCATCGAGTCGACACGACGTCTGCGTAACTCTTACCGAGAAGCTTCTATTCTGTGCCAGTTCCCGTCATGGATGGTGAGATGGGGATACTCTACTCGTCCCACACCCGAACCCACGTCCCAAAGGAAATACACCTTGCCCTTGCGCATCTCCAGGGCCAAGAAATCAACCTGGAACACACAGTAGACAAAGCAGGCCGTCACTTTTCTGCAATTCACAGACACAAAAACCCCTCCCCCCAAATCTCACTCAGTTTGGAGTGAAATCGAACCAAAACACGCAAGTAAACTCTCGAGAGTTCGTGACTTAAATGCAGAGCTCGAGTCAGTGAAGTTGCAAGAACTCTAACACCACTGCCACTTTAAGCCGATTTTCTCCGTTTTGTATTTTCACTCATTTTGTTTTTATTATTACGGATGAGCCGCTAAACAAAAAAATGGAATAAGAGGCTTTGGCGCATGTGCGCTCATCTAGATGCTGCTGAAGAATAACACTCACTCAGCATTCTTATTCATGTAGCATTATGCACAGTTAGAGATTATTAGGGAGTCAAATTTGAAGACGCAGACACACATTCACACACGTCCTATCTTTGTCGTCCCTCCACCTCCCCCGGAGGAACGGCCATTGTTCATTAGCCCAGATCACAGAGCTGCGTCGTTGCTTCTCAGCCAGCATTACACACTGTTAGCGGTGCGTGTGGACACGCACACACATGCGGCGTGCCTATTCATGTGGAATCTTTCACTTATAAGAACTTTCAGTAACACACGCTCAAGATTAAATGATTTTTTTTTTTAATGCACAATGTGGAGCGCTCGTTGTTTGAGGTTTACTTTGACAGCAGAGTTCATCAGCGTGAAGCCTCTCTTCTCAACTGATGCTTGACGTGAAGTGATTTAAGTTGATTTCACCGACACCACATTGCTGTCGTATCTCAAATTTTTATTTGGAAGTCAGAGGAGGAAAAAAAACAAAAATTAGCCTGCTCTCAGCCTCAAGCGCATGTAACTTTTTGGTATTCCTATGATGTGTTAGGATGGATCATTAATTTGTTGGCAACTTACAGTTTCAGCCTTTTCAAGCAACTTTTGAGGGAATTTTAAACTGTGATTGTGTGTACTCCCCCCCGCCCCCCCCGCATCTTCATCACAGTTAAACCGTATATACTCACATATTTGGCAGAACCGAGGTAGAAGAGCAAATTATCAGGCGTGGTGGTTTTGACGTGAAGAATGATGGTGTTGTACCTGCCCTTCCTGATGTCAGGGCGGTAACTCCGCAGACAGTCGCCGCCGGATGACACCGACACTTTGATCTAAAAACAAATAGAAAGTCACATCGAAAGCGAGTCCGCGCGTGGTGGTTTCACGAAACGTTCTTCCGCGTTTCTTACAGAGTTGGCTTGTTTCCTGGCTTGGGTAATCAGTTCCTTGATCTGGGAGATGTTTCGTCTCAAGTTGTCCTCCAGCTTTTTGATCGGCTTCAGCTTCTCCAGGAGTCTATCAGCTTCGTCCTCTAAATCCTTCACTTTAGCGCCGGCCGCGTGGACTGATTAAAGAGACGGACGGGGGGGTGCGGAATCAGCGACGTCATCGCATGCAAAAACTTTACTGCTGAGGGAGGCGGTGCGTGAACCAAGAGGGGGGCCCTTACCGAAAGCAGCTGAATCACTCAGTCATTGATTTAACAGAGAAAGGAGACGAGATAAATAAAGAGCAAGAGAGGCAGAGGGAGGAAAAGGAAAGAGCCAATCAATTAGTGTAGCTCAGCTCAGCATTCAAAGAGAAGCTTGTCTGGACTATTTGAATGGACACTGGAGGAAGGCAAAGCGAATAGAGTTCCATGCTTTGCAGTGTGCTGAGAGCTCATGCTGGAGCGGAGCTGAGGCATGATGATGATTAGGAGCAGATACTGTCACTTGATAGCTTCATACACAGAGACAAAGGATGGATGGTGCGCCAATACTCTTGTTCAAGTCAAAAAAATGCAAATTGGGTTGGACTTTTTTTTTGGTTAGGCCTTCAGAAATCAGATTATGAAATGTAACAGGGTATTGGGGCGCCATTGATAAGGGCGTCATTCATGAGGTAAAATAGATATACATACTTATAGCTGTGGGGGTAAAAGACAAACAAAGAGAAGAAAACAATTGTATAAAATGATTGTCGTCATGATTTAGCACAATCGGTCACGGCGTAATCATAACTTTGAAGAGCATAATAGCAACATGCTTTTTGTGTTGTGCTCTGGAATGGGTGTCAAACAGCTCTTGTAAATAAAGATTTCTTTGAATACTAGAAATAGAGCGAGTCCATCAAAAAAAAAAAATCAAGACAAAACTCATCTTAGAACATGGTGATTGCAAAATCAAGTCTTATTTATCACCATATGAGAAAAAAAAGACAACTTGAGCAGAAACCTTAATATTGGAGTTTTGGGGCTTACGTTCACTAACACACGCATGTTAAAATATAAGCAAACAGAAAAAAATGCCATACCAAAGGGGGCAAAAAAATCCAAACAGATGAAAATAAATCCATCTCAGCCTGTTCGACTTCCAAATATTGCGGAGTTTTTTTTTTTTAAAACAGAATTTCTGGGATCCAATGGAATTAGCTCATCAAAAATTGCAGCTTTAACAATGTATCATCCATAAACGCTTCACTTGTGCTACAAGTCACAAGGCAGTAGGAGATGCTTACTGTTTTTCTCCGGGTCCTGGATCATCTTGTTGGCGGCGCGGACCGTGTGGGCCAACTGGCTGAAGTTCTTCTGTATGTCGTTGACCTGAAGGTTCAAGACCACGAGGCGCTCCAGGACGTCGAGGGCCGTAGCGTTTGCCTCAGCGGCCACGGCCCTTGTTGCAGTCAGCTTGGCGGCCGTGTCTGCCAGACGACAATGTTGACATTTGCAATCCACGCGGGCAAAAAGACACCAAGCCCGTACTGGTGTTAGATTGGAAATGATGCAAGACTGGCGCTGTGGATGGAGGTCCATGCACTCTCTCCATGTAACCTGATAACATAACCGCTGCCCCTGAAAGGGTTAAAATATACCCAAAAAATAAACACATGCCAACCATTTCCAAATCGGAAAATTGGTCATGTATTCTGAGTATTTTTTATTTTATTTTTTTTGCATAGTTTTAAAATAAAATGACCAGGAACCAAGAAGAAATTGACAGTTCCATTTTATAAAATTTTAGATTTAAGGAAAATTCACAATTCAACCTCTTTAAAGGTCCCCCCCAAAAAAATCATCTGTGCTGTTTGAGATTTTTATCTTATCATCTGTTAATTATTTAATGTCTTAGTATTGGTTTTAACGTGCAGAAAACGTTTTAGATTCACTCAGAGTGATCCGAATCTGAAAATGATCATAACCACGCGTTTGCAGTTTGAATGCCTTCCGACAGTTTTATCGCACTGTCATATCGAACGGGTAACCTCTGAACTTGTGTCAAGTCGAGCTTAGAGCTCATTGATTTCACTGTCACTTCAACTCGCGCTCGCTCTCTCGCTCGCTCGCACGCACGCAGCGTATTTGTGCAGTCATACCATCGGGCATGGTGTCGAGTGTTGTCGCGGTTCCATTGATGGCTCTGAGCAGGTCTTTGGTTCTGTCTCGGGCGGATTTTACTCTGCCCTTCAGTCCGGACACGCTCGCGGCATTGTCTGCGGTAGAAAAAGTCATCTTTTGGTTAGCAGCAGAGTTCAAATAGTTCTGAGAAGCTGCAGTAAGTCTTTAATGTGCCTGATGAGGAGGGAAAAGGGAGGCAAAACGAGTGACTAAATGGGGGCATACATGACATGAGAAAATTCTCTATTTCTGCCTAATATTGCCACACAATACCTTTGACATCATTATGGAGTTGCTTAGCCTGGTTGAGCAGCTTGAGACTCTTCTGAAGGGCACCTTGAGCTTCCTCCTTCACGGGGATCTCTGGGCCTAAAGCCTGCACGCGCACAAGTGAAATGACAAAGAACGCTTCAGGATTTGGGAGCCACTCATGAATTAAATAGCTTTCACCCGGCACACAAAGGTGAAGTCATCTGCATATCACCTTTTCTGCTGTCAGATTGACCACTTTGCATGGCTAAATGACATTCCCACAAAAAGGTGTTCAAATGGCGGAAGGACCTCTTTACAATATTTCCACACCTCTGCCCTCTAATATTTCAGCCCCTTTTTACTCCTCCTTTGTCCTACGCCACTTATTGGCCAAGAGCAATGAACACCAAAGGAATGAAAAAAAAAAAAAAAAGAGACAAATTGAATGAAATTGAACCCAGTGGAGTAACGTGAGTAATTTCTTCTCCATGTACGATATCATGACATACTTTCCATGTTTTTTCTTTTTGTTTCCTGTAGAGGAGGAACATGGTTGATGATGGGATGAGAACTTTGAAAATAACTGAAGGAGTCAAATGCCAAGTTGAGCTACTTCTTAACATGTTTACTCTTAATAGCAACTCTTCTTTTTGCAATTGCGAGAATGATTGAAAACAGTCGCTGTGATTCGATGGAGAGCGCAAACTGCGAGCAGCTGCACAAACGAACTGCGGTATTATGGAAGTGGATACAAGGCAGGCGCGCTACGATGAACCCGATGTATCCGAGGACATTGCATGTGTTTTATTCCTGACATTCAGCGTGTACTTTTTACCATCGTCAGCGCTTCCGACGCAGTCTGCTTGGCCGCCTTTGCTTCTTTCTCTGCTTCTTCCACGTTTGCTTTAATGTTTGTGTAGGCTTTGAAGGCGGCCGTCGCATTGAAGGAGAGGTTCTTCGCTTCGGCCAAAATCCTGCGAGAAGAGCGGAAGAGTCAATTTCTCGTTTTTTTCCCCGGTGTATAATCCTGCATTGTGACCGGCGGTTACCCATCCAGAATTGTGGCCGACTCCTTCAGCTGTTGGGCGTGATCCTCTGCGGCGCGCACGCGATGGGCCAGGCCGCCGCCACTCAAACCGTCGGTCAGGTGCCGGACTTTGTCATCCAGCTGGTCGCTGAGAGGAACGAGTTCGTTTCTCATCTCCTCTGCATCCTACGAGCGTCACGCGATACTCAAGAGTCAGACGCCACACGTGTTACTCGCCGCGGAGTGTAAGACAATCATCCCGACGAGGTCCCCCGTTGTCGCACCTCTAACTCTTTATTGATGTTGTCGGAAAGCTGGTTGGCGTCATCCAGGAGGTTTTCCGCTTCCCCGATGACCTTTTGTGCTTCTCGTTTCACCCCGAGGACTGCGGCATGCCTCCCCTTTAAAAACAGAGCAGCGGCAAAGACCTCCGTGTCGGCTACTCGGCATTCAAGTAATGACACAAATTAGACCAATATTCATGGAAATAACGATGACCTTCTCTCACAAATGTACGAACCCGTGCAAACCTGTTTGCTTCAACGCGAAGCTGTCATTATGTTGAATGAAAGGCAGCAAATGGACACTGGTTATTTGTGGCAAATGAAAAACATTTATGAAAAGGAAATGGAGGGGGTGGGGGGGGGCAAAGAGGATCATTTCCCTCAATTTCGCAGCATGCGTAGTTTTGCACATCTGATATTCAATCCTGGAGTGATGAAATAAACGCATAACCATATTTTACAAAAAACAAAAAAAGAGTTGTTGATTGAGCACCCTCGGCGCTGCTAATGTGGAGAGCTCCTTCAGTAATCCCACTTCAGAGGTGGAAAATGAATTCAACGCAATTATCTATTTGAAGCATATTACGGGGTCATTTTCTCTCTTCATGACACAGTGAGTTAGGGAAACACCATGTAAATATAAAATCCAACTTCACAAAGTGGTCCTTTTGGAAATCCAAATTCTTTCCATTATATACGTCGACAATCTGCCAGTTGCGGAGGGATTAATCATATCAACGACATTGGTGGACCGGCTAGGACACCTCACGTTGTTCCAGTCTTTACTACGAAGATGGAGAATTTGAAGAACTGAGTGTCCGTGATGAGGCACGCCACTGCGCAAATTTGGGGGGTTCGCCCCGCCCCCGACGAGCAAATTTTCAAGAACCACGTACCTCCAAGAATGTGAGGTTGGCTTGGTTTTGTCCAGCCAACAAGCCAGCCTGCCTGGTCTTCTCGCGGGCGGAGTGAAGAAGTTCTTGAGCCTCCTGAAGTTTGCCCTCGTGGTCCGACAGCTTGTCTTTTATCTAGGAAGATAAAAATCGATACATGAACAAATATCGTTGAGTTCAGTATCGTTGCATCATAAGGTTTGTGGGTTACGAGTACCTCCGCTTTTAAGTCTTCTGTGGCCTGGTGAGGATTCCCAAACATCCTCTTCACTTTTAGGAACAACTCTTCTGCTAAACTGGGAGCATCACAATTATTCGGATTATTTATTTTGAAGATCTTATAGTTGACAGTTGCGTCACAGCCGAGGTCATCTGCGTGCCATCGGCGCACAACGTTAGCATACCACCCGATGACTCACGAGATGAAGTTTTGAAAACCAAACTTTCTCACCTTTGAAAAGGGAGTTTTATAAACATTTGTGTGTTTACCGCAGAGGCGCTGAACGCATGATTAGCATTAAGCGAGACGAGAAGAATCTAGCTCTCCCCAGTTGCTGCCACTCAAAGGATTTTGCGCAGTTTTGGCGGATACGGGCAAGGTAATTATTGGACTTGGTGTAACATTAATGAAGTCTATAGGGGGGGACGGTGAGATGAAAACAAGAGTTAAAATAAATATGCACTCTAAATGCTCACAGTGACTGTTTACAACATTTGACAGTGACTATATCATGTTCGTGGAAAACATTTGCAGTTTTCCGGCATTTGTAGAAATATGTTCCATTGGCTGTTTTGGTTTGAACTCTGTGCAGGGTTCAGTCTCAAAGACAAGAAGTGTGGCGAGGGCGATTTATCTTTAGCCCGGTTTTCCCGATACCGTGTCCATCTTTTAGTCTTTCCTGCGTTCACCCCTCCTCTCGTATCTCCGCATCGTTATGTCTCGCGTCTCCCCCCCGAGGCCATAGTTTTAATTAACTTATCGACCTCGTCAACATTTAATGCGCTAAAGAGATAAAGCGAGAGGAGGACGACGGGCGGAGGGAAGAGAGTAGATTACGGATCGAAAAACCTCCAGAAAGACTTCATCAGCACAACGTTCTTGCTTCTTGCGAGTGCGTAATTGTCGCAGTGCGGGATTGCGCTCGCTTGGATGATGTGCAGACAGTCAATCCTACTTTTGAGTTTGTTTCGGTGGTTTTATACGGATTGTAAATGAAAGCAATAATAAGCAGCGGGAGAGAGAACGTGCCTTGAATGAAGAGCCTTAAAGTCACTGTCACGGTATATTGGCCTGTAATACGGATAACGGCAATCTTTTTTTTTTTTTTTTCATTGCCACGGTAGCACCAAATCACTTACTATGGCGGTCGATCATAAAAGACCGGGCAAAGCATTTCTATGTTGGGTTAGCACTAACGTTTTCATGTATGGAAAAAAACAAACTGATTTAAAGAAGTTACGAATGAATATATTGTATCATAAAAGACCGGGCAGAGCATTTCTATGTTGGGTTAGCACTAGCGTTTTCATGTATGGAAAAACAAACAAACTGATTTAAAGAAGTTACGAATGAATATATATTGTGTGTGTGTGTGCATTCCTACTCCATCTCCTCCTCAGCAATGAGGCGCTTCCCTCCCAGCTGTCGTTTCCTCATCTCAGCTAACATGGCCTGAATCTCGTCCTTCATCTCCTTCAAACTTTTTTCCGGCGTTCCGTCTTTGCGCGCCAGCATCCGGTTCAACTCATCAGCTTTGGACTGGAGATCTGGACACCAAAATGAGAAATATTTGCTACGGGGTGTAGCTTTTACGCCGTAAGCTTCAGCCACAATGGAAAAAAAAAAATAAGAGGGCACAATCTGATGCCAGCAGACGGTGACCCTGAAAAATTAAGCATGCGGTGGCTATAGAAAGTGAATGGGGAGATGCATGAGAAATTTGGAGTTGCAAAATTTTGACAAAAAAATAATATCAAGATAAAAGCAAGAAAGCTATTTGAGAACGCCATATTTGCATTTCTCTCATGGAATGAAAGTCACTGACATGCAAACCTAGTCGGTGATAAAATCCACTCAATGAGGATTGATTGAAACCATTAAAAAATTTGTTAGCATGATAATGAGGCATACATCGCTGTTTTTTTGCCTACGTTCGAAAAGAATGACTTGTATCCATCACATAATGGATGCGTGTGCGATTGTGCGTGCCAGTCGTCTATTACGTCTCTCAAGTCGATTTGATTAAAGCAAGTTGAAACTTCACACCAGTGATTTTTTGTGAGTGGGTGTGCATGGTCGAAGCGATGCGGCCTTTCTTCTCATCTGAAATGTAAACATGATGTGATTATTACAGCCGAGACACAAGCAAAGCCATCACGCTAATGAACAGCTGCGGCGTATGTGTGTGTGCACGCGTATGCCACCGAGTCGGCATGTCACAGCCGGATAATTACATGCTGGGATTTAAAAGCCAATTAAACACTTAAAACGTGAACGGAATCATATCATGGTACACAGTAAACACACACACACACACACACACACACACACACACACACACACACACACACACACACACACACACACACACACACACACACGCACACACACACACACACGTATACACACAGTGAGTGTGTACAGTATTTCCTTGCCTTATTATCGAGAAGTGTGTGTGCGTATGAAGTTGTATTTTTCGTGCACTTCTGCATCGGTTTATGCACGATGCTTTAGAGAAGTGTGTGTGCGTGTGTGTGTGTGTGTGTTTGATAGCCACTAATTATGTCCCTAATTGCTACTCTCAATCATCCTCTGAGAACCAACTCACACTTCACACATTCACACACAGCCGTAATCACGCAATGATCAGGCCCTGAGCCAGAGAGCTTGCAGCAGCAATGAGAAGCCGAAAGTTTCATCACTTTCTTTGCACCCAAGACAACACAACTTTTTTTCTTCTTTTTAAAATAAACGAGTTATAAATCCAGCCATCTCTACAGCGCGATCCCCGTTTCTCTGTTGCTTGACGACCGACTCCTACCAATGGCTCGCCACGGAAAACAAGATTTCTGGCGGTGGCGCGACATCCCCTGCGTCTCCCAAACACGTAACAAATGGCTTTCCAAAAGCTGCAATGGCACGGATTTGCGCGCATCGCTGCCTGATGAAGCTACTCGGGCAAATTGGCCTTGTGTGACAACAAAAGTGACTGAAAAAAAGGATGTGAGACATCACTGTGTAACTAGCTGCATTCTATTTGTTGGTGCTGGGGTACCTCATGAACGTACTGTATAATAGAACCCAATATGGAAACAGCAGAGTGAAAAAAAAAACAGTCAACAGAAGACAGAGAATTAACGCAAGCAAGGTGGTGTCGATTGGCGCTACCTTGAGCTCCCAGCAGCGCGTCCCTAACGAACTTCTCCAGGATCTCGGCTCGCTTTTCAATTCTGTTGGCATCATCTTCCACTTGTTCTCCATCAGCAGACACCTTAGTTGCCTACACAAAAGACATGCACCCACCCACCCACCCACACACACGCAAGCATGTTAAATAAATAAGCAGGTTGTTCCCTTCCCGTGATAAATGAACAATGATCGGAGGATCATCAATATTTTAGTTTGTTACCTTTGTTTGTGTGATTATTGTCTACTTCCACACTGTCATGTGCCAGTACTACATACTACACATGAATTATGTACAACAAAACAAGCTCATCCGCTGAGATTCATACACAATCACACAAAAGATTTCAGGAAGACGCACACACGCGCAGAGTCAAGCAGTAGAGTGTGTGTCATGTGTGTGTGTCATTATTGATATTCAACAAGACCATGCCCTGTCATCCATCAAGTGTGTGACTGAGCATGCGGCTGAACGCCGGGTTGTGCACAAGTCACTAAGAATGTGCTGCTTGACAGCATAATTATATATTTAAACACATTTGATATACTGGTCAGCTCGTTTGACCTCTCTGACACTCCAACATCCAGATTTCACATTGAGAAACGTTTAACAAGAGCAAACGCAGAATATGGGCCAATGCGATCCAAACTGGTATTAATTTATGCTCACGGGTACTTGCGGTGGAACCGTGAGGCCCAAATTAGTATTTGTTCCACTATTTTGATCACATGTCAATCAACAAGCTGTAACCTTGCAGGGCGCTTTCGTGCTGAGCGCCTCGGCCTGCTGTATAAGCATTCAGACTTGTTTATCTACAGATTCTTTGCACATACGGCGAGTAAGTGCCTGAAACTATATTATCGCTCCGTGGCAAAGCTTGTTCGCTCCATCCCGTGATGGTGAGATAGAGACAAAGGGAACAACAGGAAGGCACACTAGCGACAAAGCAGGACTCAAGTTGGGCCGAAAGCGACAAAGGCGCGCGCACCCTGCTGTGTAGTTGGTCCATCTCGACAACCAGCGATCCCAAGTTGGAGTCGGCCAGCTGGAGTAATCTCTCCGGAGCTTTCTGAGGTGACAGCATGTGCTGCAGGAGAGAAAGAGAATAACATGAAGGCACAAAAGACAGATGATGTCTGACACATTTTGGCTCAGGGCTCAAGACTTTTCAACCTCGCAGCTCAGGGAAGTTGCAAGTGGATTGCATCCTCACATTTGTGTCTTATTTTCATTCCGAGTGGCGTGAAGTCCGCAGGGTCAAAGTTGACGTACCTTGAGTTCTTCGGTCACAGTCAACAGAAGACAGAGAATTAACGCAAGCAAGGTGGTGTCGATTGGCGCTACCTTGAGCTCCCAGCAGCGCGTCCCTAACGAACTTCTCCAGGATCTCGGCTCGCTTTTCAATTCTGTTGGCATCATCTTCCACTTGTTCTCCATCAGCAGACACCTTAGTTGCCTACACAAAAGACATGCACCCACCCACCCACCCACACACACGCAAGCATGTTAAATAAATAAGCAGGTTGTTCCCTTCCCGTGATAAATGAACAATGATCGGAGGATCATCAATATTTTAGTTTGTTACCTTTGTTTGTGTGATTATTGTCTACTTCCACACTGTCATGTGCCAGTACTACATACTACACATGAATTATGTACAACAAAACAAGCTCATCCGCTGAGATTCATACACAATCACACAAAAGATTTCAGGAAGACGCACACACGCGCAGAGTCAAGCAGTAGAGTGTGTGTCATGTGTGTGTGTCATTATTGATATTCAACAAGACCATGCCCTGTCATCCATCAAGTGTGTGACTGAGCATGCGGCTGAACGCCGGGTTGTGCACAAGTCACTAAGAATGTGCTGCTTGACAGCATAATTATATATTTAAACACATTTGATATACTGGTCAGCTCGTTTGACCTCTCTGACACTCCAACATCCAGATTTCACATTGAGAAACGTTTAACAAGAGCAAACGCAGAATATGGGCCAATGCGATCCAAACTGGTATTAATTTATGCTCACGGGTACTTGCGGTGGAACCGTGAGGCCCAAATTAGTATTTGTTCCACTATTTTGATCACATGTCAATCAACAAGCTGTAACCTTGCAGGGCGCTTTCGTGCTGAGCGCCTCGGCCTGCTGTATAAGCATTCAGACTTGTTTATCTACAGATTCTTTGCACATACGGCGAGTAAGTGCCTGAAACTATATTATCGCTCCGTGGCAAAGCTTGTTCGCTCCATCCCGTGATGGTGAGATAGAGACAAAGGGAACAACAGGAAGGCACACTAGCGACAAAGCAGGACTCAAGTTGGGCCGAAAGCGACAAAGGCGCGCGCACCCTGCTGTGTAGTTGGTCCATCTCGACAACCAGCGATCCCAAGTTGGAGTCGGCCAGCTGGAGTAATCTCTCCGGAGCTTTCTGAGGTGACAGCATGTGCTGCAGGAGAGAAAGAGAATAACATGAAGGCACAAAAGACAGATGATGTCTGACACATTTTGGCTCAGGGCTCAAGACTTTTCAACCTCGCAGCTCAGGGAAGTTGCAAGTGGATTGCATCCTCACATTTGTGTCTTATTTTCATTCCGAGTGGCGTGAAGTCCGCAGGGTCAAAGTTGACGTACCTTGAGTTCTTCGGTCATGTTTTCAAAGCGGTACAGGATCTTGTAAGGTGGCGGCAGGGGCGTGGTCAGCGTGATGTCGGTGACGATGCGATACAGGCGGTCCATGTCGGTGAACAGCAGACCTGTGCACTCGTCGTCGCACGCTGTACACATACGGAGGGATTTAAAGGCCGGCCCAAGCATAAACAGCAAAGGTTACACATGTCATGTCAAGAGATCAGGCAGATGCAGAAAACAACAACAAAAAAAATAGCTGATTCGTGTATTGTGTGAAGCGATATCCGGTGTGTTATTGGAATTTTTGCTCAATATTTTTTTTTTTTGCCTTCTAGTCGTTATTGCTGAAAGAAAACTAAATTCAAGGTGCTTGCATGGGTTGTCGAAAATTTCATCGACATCCTATTTTTTTTTTCAATGTGTTGAATTTTGCTTGTTTTTACGGCTGACACAGGCATAACCTTTAGGGACCTACCATGAGAGTATCAATTGAACACCTCAGTGTGTGAGAGCGCACAGCGCAGGGAGCTAAGCGCACCTGTTATGAGCACATACTGCAGGCTGAGAATACACATAAATTGCGCATCAGGGGACCCATTCAGACACATGCAGAGCACAATGTGCGCGCTTGCGTACTGTTTGAGTTTTTCTTGCCTCTCTGCAGCCAGGGGCTGATTTATGGCTGAAATTAAAATTTCTGACAGAGGGGATCTAAGATAAATTAAAGAGAAACACTTTCTACTCTATCAATCTATGACATAACCAGAGCGTGCGGGAACACACACACACGCACACACACAAAAGCAAACTTTAAAAAAAAATCTCCAACCGATGAACATAAATACAACCAATCCCTCTTTTAATAAGTTGAGTGTAAAGACTCGAAAATCCCTTTCAATGTGTAATGCAAAGGCACACTATTTAAATTTTTACGGATCACTATACTCAGCACAAAAAAAGTCATCTTTTAATTACCATCTTTTAATGATCACATCTGTTATTAAATGAACACACGCAATATTGAAGAACAAAGTATGATGTAGAGTAATGAATAATTCGAGGTTTATGTTCGCTTTTCACCGAAAACATGCTGCTCACTGCAAAACGCGCATGACATGCAAGTGCACAGCACAACAGGGGAATCATCCGTTACCTTAATGTGAGTTGTTTGTTTTGGACGGCAGATACCAATGTTGTCATTTATATTTCTGAAAGTCAATCTGCATTCAAATCCAATGTGGTTGGACACTTTTTTTTTTTTAATGGGAAAAATTAAATCTTCGTAGTGCAGCAGTATGAGTCTGCAGGCTGTGAGAGCTTTTTCAAATTGCGTTCTAGATACAAGTGACATGGTAAAAGTATTACCCGAGGCTTTTTTTCTTTTTAATTCTTCTTTACGTTAACAGTGTTGTCTATGTGGCTTCTTGAAACCAATTCATCCTTCTTGAACCATTCTTGTAGAAATCGGAAGATGACCAGCATCCAGAGTTTGACCTTAGCGGTCCCGTTATAGTAAGAGAAATAGGAAAGTCAAAGAGCAAATAAATAAATACGAAACTCCCATCAAACCTTGTTGAGATTCTACCAGGTCTAAACTGTTAGCACGTCTCCATGGATCAGAATCACAAAACGGAGGGCTCGGCTAGCGAGGAACGAGCAAACCCACATCTGATTGCCTCGATCCATGCGACCCATCAGGACTTCTTATTATGGTTGGGGGGGGCAACAGGACAACCAGTTTGGTGAGGGCTGCACTGGCGCAATTGCACAGCTAAAGCACGAACACACGCTTGGCACCTGGACGTGTCGAGCAATCACCTCTGCGACCGGCTAACAGCAATTTCTTATCAGCATCTGTCTTTCAAAGTTCTTTCTATACTCTCTCTCTCACACACACTCACACATGCGCGCGCACACCAAGACAAGCTAATGGAACTAAATTGGCCCCACCATTATGATCATATTAAGTTTAAATTAGCACCAAATGACATTGAAATCATTGCCTAAATGACTGAAATTTCAATTCTGATGCAGACCCCTCAGTCTCCCAGGGCAACCGGGTGAAAGCTGCTCATTTGCACTAGCTCGCCTAAATAAAGTAAAATGGCAAGATCAGGTGAACACGCTGGGCTCTCGGCGGCTGCAGAGAAACGATTGGAGGAGAAAAAAAAAAGAGCTGAGGAAAGACGCCTGTGGGCAAAGATTGCGGTTTCTGTTACTGGAAAGCATCCAAAGAGAACTGCATCATGATTTTCGTTTTCATGAATTAGCTTTAGATATTTTCATTATTTTAATTACATGTCAAATAAAAAGTTATATAAAATTATTCGAAGAACATGTTTCACCATACAACACGAAAAAACATTAAAAAATATAATAATTCTACACAACCATGCTTTTTCCGATATATTAAAAAAGTCGCTTGATAAATAGCACACAAAGAACATGAGTGTATGAAATGCTGTGCGTTAGTCCTTACAGATGATCCCAGATGGTCCACACACATGCCTTTCCATGCACCGGTCACAAGACCTCCCCGAGGCCCCGAACGTGCACTGGCATTGGCCAGTGACAGGGTCACATGGTCCGGGCAACGCCCCCCACGGGGAACACTTACACTCCTCGCATCGCCCACCAGGAATCTGAGGGTTACCATAGTAACCAGTGGAACACCTGGATGGGGAAGGAAAATGATGAGTTTCCATCATTTAAAAAAACTTTTTTTTTTTTTTTTGCAATATTTGTCCCCAAAAAAATCGTAACATGGTCAAGTTGCTTCTGACCTTTCACAATATTTCCCCTCATATCCCTCAGGACAGGCTGTGCAACGGTAGTCATCATAGCCTTCGGTGACGCAGAATGGACTAAAACTGGACAGACAAAAAGAGTTCCGTTCATATAGCAACATGGGACAATGGCAAAGCACATTAAACGCCCACTGAATTTCCTGAAATAGTAGAACAAGGCTCTGAATGAATAACTGCAGACAAATTTTTTTTTTTAATGTTACCATTATTTGGGTGAGGAAAAGAGGCATTAACTTCATCAGAAACAAACGGACAACACGTACTTGTTCCCAGGATTAGTAAGGGGGCAGGCGCAAGGTTTGCAGTCATCACGGAATCCTCGGACCACGCCGTAGAATCCCGGAGCGCAGCGCTCGCAGTGATCCCCCTCTGTGTTGTCTTGACAGTTCTTTGCGACGTGCACACACACAAACATAACTTAGCCCATTCTTGTGGAAGAAAATAAACGTTAGAATTGCGATTGAAGCATGACGCCTAGCAATGAAATGGCATTTTGTGTGTGAGGACATGCTCAAACTCCGTCAATCCAAGTTATCAAATGTCGATCCGTTTGAATGATGGTTGTAAATGTGCTTGATGAGGCTTATTTTTCAGCAGGAATCCTGTTCAATTATAGTCACTCTGAGATTTACATTTCAGACGATGCGATTTTTTTTCAACCCTTGATGCACATTTGCAAAACGAAATAAATCGACAATGTTCACATTTGTTTTGATAGCATATTTCAGACCATCTCATCATATTTATGAGACTGACAATACTCTGCGCATGTCCCTCGACCGTCCACTGTAGATGCAGCTGCCTAAGCAGTGAAAGAAAAATCATTTCTTTTCAGCACATTTCAAGGCCGCCTTGCATTATTATTATTATTTTTTTTTTTTTTTTTAAGTGAGGCCTGGCACATTGTTGTTGCCTGTCCTGCATGTCTCACACAACGGTCTAAAGAGCTTCTATTCAAGCACAGCTGAATATGCTGTTACAAGTTCATTCGCCGTCTTTGTCAGAATCGTCACAATGAACACGCATACAATGAGTATTGAATATACACAGAATCCCTTTTTCGATGTGCGGGTGTAGTTTCCAAACACTGCAACGTGACAGACATGAATGTGTTGCTAATATTTGGGTTCTCGGATTGAGCGATGTAAGAGGAGCATTATTCTCCCCCCGCAGGCTCGTGACTTGTTGTGTTGTTAAAATGAGTCCTTCAATCAGCTGCAACAGGAAGTTGCATTTCCATTAACTTCCTGCGTTCCTCGTTACTGCTAATTACCCCAGAAACAAACTCATTTAGGGTTTTCAATTTGGCTCGCTCGGTTAGAAAATTCTAATGACGCCGTTACCGAAGGCGCAATGAACATGGGCAAGGAAGGCAGAAATGGCTGTGAGGCAGAGCAGAGGTAGGAAGAAAACAAGGCGGAAGGGAACGTAAAAAGAAGCGAGACAATTGACTCCAAAACAAAATGAACAAAAGAGACAGAGAGTGGATCGAGTGCTCGGAAGCAAGGATTCCGACACTCCTATCACGGAAAGGCTCGACTTTACTCTTCAATTTATATGGACTTCTTCATTGTGATCATTACCTTTCTTCTCATATTGGCTGAGATAAATCACATGGTTCTACTGCCTTATAAAAAGCCACGCGTGTTACAAAGTATAATACTTCAATCATGTTTGAAGAGGTGAGATTTTCTACAATCTGGAGGGTGAAACAACAATCTGCGCCAGGACTCTTCTGGACTGTGAAATTCACATTCCCTCTTGAAGTCCCTTTGGGCCCCGATCAAGAGCGACAGAATGACATGAAATATGAATAAGCCAGTTTGTGTTCATTACAGCGAGGCTAATTAAACTTCTTTCCTTAGACTCGCCTTAATTTCTCTTCCAGCTTCGAGCCCAAAGGTGTCTCACACACACACACACACACACCTGGCACAAGTTACCTGGCATATGGAGGAGTCAGGGTCACAGGTGGTCGAGTGGCCGCTGCACTGGCATTGAACACAGCTGCCCATGCCCGCAGCAGTGGGGACTCTGGAGGCCGGAGCAGATGCGTGCGAGCCGCCGCGGAGGCGGTAGAAACCTGCTGCGCACTCCTGCGTCGGCACAGACAGAAGGACATTCAAAACAGAGAGACCAAAAGACATGAGTCAAGACTGAATGAAGCAGGCAAGGTACAAGGACCTTGCGGCGCGTCAGATCTTTTTTGTGTGTGAACATGTATTCCCACGGTCATAATGAAATATGAACGCTAATGCAAGTCGCAGAGAGCGAAGACAACACTACTCATGGGCTCATAATTATCCTAAATTGCTATTTCTCAAGGCGACCGTTGACCTCGGCTTTCACACATGAAGCCAATTAAGGGTTATTCCCCCTTGGTGACTTTGGAACACACAATAGCGCGCGCGCAGATATGCAAGGTAACTCTCCATCCCCGTGTGTTGAGCAATAATTAATGAAGGCCTTTTAAAGAGCCATCTGCTCCCTCGGCTTGCACTAAACGCCCATTTTCAAAATACTTTCAGAACGACGGCAGCGACCAACCGGGCGCTCATCTGCCGGCAAAGCACCTCGAGAAAAGTTTGAAGTTGAACTACGCTTGGTTATGTGACTTCCAGTGGGCACCATTGAGGTTCGTCGCATAGTAAAGACAAAATAATAAATAAACCAGAATGCAATGCTTGCATACTGAAGTTCAGTATTGGTGTGTGGTGAGTTGGTTGTGGACGCACCTCACAAGACAGTCCAGAGTATCCAACTGGACAGTCGCATTTTTCTATTTGGTAGGCTTTCTCATTCTCCCTGTTGGGTATACCTGCTTCTGCCACAGTGAGACTTATCTCTGAAATACTGCAATGGCCACAAAATAAAAACAAGTGCACACTTCGTTAGTTTGGATACGTCAGATATATTTTCACATTAAGAGTGACTGTGCGCGTTTTACCGGCTGTGTCTCATCTGGTTGCCATGTGACGCCTTGATGAGGACGTAGTCCACATAGAACAAAACATCCATGAAATCCTGGCGCGTCATTGGCCGTCCATCCGCGTGCCTCCACTCATGCTGGAGACAGAAACAAAACAGAGTTAAATACAACAAATATCAAACACCAGCGCGTTTGAATCCCCGAAGCCTGAAGATACTGTACCTCCGTCATGTCAATCTCGTGCCGTGTGAGCTGACCAATCTGGAGTCCCGCTACTTGGCGTGTCATAACGATGTTGTGGTTAGCTCCGCCCTTAATGATGACCTGAGGCTCATACGAGGAGGGCCCGGTTTCGTCTCTGGCCTCATAGTACACGGCATACTTCAACTTCCCACCGTATGCTGTGATCTAATGGGAACATGTTTGGGGGGGGGGGATTGATCAATGACCATATCACCACGGAACTAGAAAACTGACGAGAAAAACATTACGGGCATGATTCTTACCATGGAGCCTCGGAACTGTTGCGGTAGCTTCCAGTAATATGGCTCGGAAAGAACTGTGGTGACCAGCTCGGAGTGTGCGAGGATCTCCGGGTGTTGGAAGCTTACTCCTGTTTTGGTCTCAACAATGCTGCTTTTATCCACCAGGGGAAGAACCGTCTGCTCGGGCCTCAGCGTTAGCTGCAATGCAAATCGTATTGGGGGGGGGTATCAAAACAACTGCAATCTATGCATCAACAGGAAAGGGGGAATAGCATTTATAGACAGTTGACAAACTATTTTGGGGGAAGTGTACATTTACTCTTGATGGGTGGGCAGGCACTTAAAAAAAGTTCCATTTTTCATTGCATCAATTAAAACTTTTCTAGAAACCCTGAATATTTTTTTTTCTTTTTTTTTTAAATGGACTGACCGCCCATCAAAATTGATTCAGTGCAGTGAAATGTTCATTCTTTACAATTTTTCATTGCATCAATTAAAACTTTTGTAGAAACCCTGAATAAAAAAAAAAATTTAAAAAAATTGACTGACCGCCCATCGAAATTGATTCAGTGCAGTGAAATGTTCATTCTTTACAAGATATTTGTAAGAGTCTGAATTACTAAAGTGTTCTTATGGTTAAAACTGTTAATAATTATAATCACGTTTTAGGCAGCGTCAATTATTTGCGGAAATTTGCTCTTCATGGCCGGGCTCGGTCTATCCGCTGGGAATAGCAGACAGAGTCCGCCGTAAACCATGAAAGTGGTTCCAAGTGTTGCTGCTGTTGGACGATTGCTGTCTGATGTGTGAATAATATTTGAGTTATGATCAACAGCCTGAAGTAAATTAAAGTGCTTTTCATCCTCCCCGTCTCCCATTTTATTTGTTTTCATTTCAGAGTTCTGCGAATGATATCAGGGGTTCATTATTGACTGTGGGATACGGTTGAGTGGAGTGATTTTAAAAATAGATTCATCCGATGCCGTTCAGACTTTTTTTTTTTTCTATATCCCTGAAGTCTTAAAATGTTGATATGAGGCTCTCGGGGAGATTGCATTTGGTTGGGAAGACAGGATGTGAACTCTATTAAGCTTCTATACTGTAGCTCAGACTGACACTAAGGGCTGCAGAGTATTATTTCAATGGCCACGATAACCTGACGTGTGTTCACTATCCACAACGTAAAAAAATGGGGGAAAATATGACAAATAATAGTAAGATGTTATTCAATTCAAATTCGAACAAGCAGAAGTCAATTCAAATGGGTCATTTTCAAGGCCGACATGCTGGACGCAATATTCTCTTGAAAACACTGCGCCTCAATTCATCGCCGTGCACTTTTTTTTTCAGTTGAATAAATGACCGCTAAACCAAGTGGTCTGTATGTCAACAAAGAGAGTGCCTACTCACCCACATCCTGACGAGTCCTTGCGACTCAGTGCAGGAGTGCGTCAGGCCGTAACAGTAACAGTTGCTGCAGCCCAGCGGATTTTGCAGCGACAATCCGAATGTGTTGGGCTTGCAACGGTCGCAGTTGTGTCCCATCACGTTTTCCTGAAAGAACGGATAAAAGACATGCACAGATCGACGGTAATTTATGCCAAGTTACTTACTAAAATAAAATAAACTGAACCTTGCAGCTGCACTTCCCAGTTCGATCGGCGCAGGCACAAATTCCTCGCTCAAAGTCACAAGTCTCACTTTCCGATCCGGAGATGTTACACTCGCATGAGGTGCACTGTCGGGAAGGTCACAAAGACTCAAGACGGGGCCTCGAATGAAAATACCGCTTTTATTTTCATGACAATAACCGGACACAAATTCAAGAATCGGCTTCGTCCGTACGATGAGAGCATAAGTTCGCGTTGAGAGTTCATATCGTTTACCTGAGGAAAGTCTCTGTAGCCCAGCTGACATTCGTTGCATTTCTCTCCTCTGAAGGAGTCGTGGCAAACGCAGCAGCCCGTGTTGACGTTGCACTGCTGCGTCACCGAACCCACCGCACTGCAGCCGCACTCCTGCGGGAATCACATCTTTATTCAAATGGAGTGGATAAAAATCGACTCGGCCGAACTTAAAAGTCGATGGCACAGTATGTTTCCAATTGATTTTCCAAATGACCGTATGGCGGTCATGTTACCTTGCATCCGGTCACGATATCGTGGCCCCAGTGGTTCGGGGCGCAGCGGTCGCACCTCTCGCCAAGCGTGTTTGGAGGACAGATACACTGTCCTGTGTTGGCGTCGCAGTTATTGCCCACGTGGCTGCAGTGACATGCTGCGACAGAGCCAGGGAGAAATGTCAGTTCCCCAAGAGTTTTAAATAAGGCGGCATTCTTTGAACATTTTGTGATGTTTGTATTTCATCGTTAAGATCACTCATGCAGCAAAGTCAGGTTGCTCTTCTGAGAACCTTCCGAGAAGCTGATTTAAAAATGTTGAACGGTGTCTTTCAATTTCACAATTTCCGGAGCCTCTTTAAGCATTGTACACAAGGTCAATTACGTTCCATTCAATTAAATTCCGATATATTTAATGAAATGCAAATTATTATACATGCACCTGGTTCATGTGTACCAACCATCACTGTTTCATTTCAAATATTTTCCTCTAAAGATATGACGTTCCAGTAGCCCGGAGGCTATTTAACTTCTAACTTGTCTCGCGGTAAATGAGCCGTGACATTAAAGAAACACAAATATCATATTCATCCACAAAACTTTAAAGATGAGCCAAAGCAAATAAATCCTAAGCTTATCATTTTGTCATGACGGCGTGACAGAGCTGGCTGTGATTGTTGCCGCTTGTTCTTGGCTGTCAATTGCGCTTGGCATCCTTTGACATCTCGCAAAAGCAGACATGGAGGGGGGAGCGCTATTCATAGTCGCCGCTCTTAATCCAAGTTTGCGACACCTGCTCCCCGCAGTGCCGAACATTTGGAGTGGGTGATTCAAACATCTGAGCATCTCAAACCTAAACATGACCAATTCTGAAGGCCGCGGGCTTCAAATAGATACTTTGAGGCATTTGGGTGGCACGAACATGGACCCAGAAGCAGCTTATTTGGACAATTAGCCCTCTATCGTGTTTTGCTTTTCAGAACACACCTACCTGCAAAGATGTTTTTAATAGCTTTTTATCCGGATGAAAAATATTGTGACATACTTGCCCATACAGTACTGTACAGTATTGTCTACAAATGTCAAATTGTGTTGCCTTCAAAATGAAACAATGTGTTCACAAAGTGAGGGAGAAGCAACGTTCTATCTACACGACATCTGATGAAAATCTACATTTGAATTTGTCTGAGAAACTGTTTACGCATTTGAGTGTGTGCTGCTGTTTTGGCAAACAACATATTTCCAATGGGCTCATCCATCCATTATCTGAACTGCTTTATCCCGACGAAGGTCGTTATCTCTGTGAATAATAGTGGATGAAAACGGGTTATTAGTTACAAGCCGGGATTTTTTTTTTTTTGCAAGAGGAAAAAGGTGGCCTTTTATTGGGGTAAAAGCATTTGAAATGTACAAGGTGCAAGGGGTCTAACTGGCTTCTAATAAAGTGAACGTCAGTATATGCATCATTTAAATAAAGGTAACATGTTTTATTCCGCTTTACCATGAAGCATTTTACTCGCCGAGCCATTCATTTTGACAGTCACGGCAGCATCAACACAGCGGCCAACCTTCATCATTCTGTTTTTATAAAAGCAAGTGCTGACAACCTTGGATATTTCAAAACGACATTTTGTGAGGACAATTGACAACGAAGGTTTCGTTTCACCGAAGCAAGGTCAAAATTGTGAATGTGCAATTAAAACTTGAATTCAGTCGATTTGAATGTGAAATGTCAAGGCAATGCTTTGCTAACATGATGAGCTTTTTCTTTATTTAGTCATCATAATTACCGCTAGCGACTGTAGTTTGCATTGCTTTTGGATATTTTTTTTCATGCTGCTGAAAAAAACCCAAATAAACCATACAATTAATGTTTTAAATTAGGCGAATCGTTTTAATAAAGTGTTGCTCGTCGAGAAAATAAATCACTATACGATGATACAATTCTCATTGTATTGAGTGATAATTCCCCCCCCCCAACTCTCCAAATTTGCCCGGACAGTCTAGCTTTGCTTACGCGTGCAGCCTCCCTCCTGGAAGTTGAAGAATCCTCGTGAGCAGCGGTCGCATTTGGGTCCGGTGACTCCCGGCTGGCACCGACACTGACCGTTTTCGTCGCAGTCAAACGACTTGGAGCCAAAGGAGTTACAGTGACACGGCACGCACTGTCCACCCGTGGCCAGGCCGTACGTCTGAGCCTGGAGGCAAAAAGGACCAGACAAGGTCAAAAGGGGAGGGCGAGCCTTGCAAACGATTGAAAGCATCGCCAAATTCACGGCACACTCGAGTGTCTTCGTGTACTGCGTCAACGCTGTTGTGTATATTGTACATAAATACAGACTATATACAGTAGGTGAGTGTTATCAACAGCCATAAACAAATCCGTGTGTGTTTTATTTGAACATGCTTGGCCAAGAAACAGTTTGATTCTAATTCTCTTTGTGGATTTGACAGATGTCTGATGTCCTCAAAGGCAACACAAAATAAAAGAGGGCACTTTTGGGTCATCCGACAGGGACTCATGCAAATCCCACAAATGAACAAGGACACGTCAAAAGCACACATCAGGGTTGAAACATTTGCTCCCTGTAAAATAACGCCAACAACCAACGTTTCGGGGTTTTTTTTTTCCTGCATCCAGGGAAACAAAAATGTGTTATGATACAAATTATAATCTCATAATAAACTCTTCCTTTGATAAGGAATCGCTTCAACAAAATTAAAAAGCCCATAAAATGTCAAATGTGAACTATTCAGTTTGATTTTATACTGAAAAAAAAGTGGAAAAAAAGACGCTAAATATAAAATTATTGAAATATAACAACATGGCCAACCAAAAGGCTTAATGTGGGACCGTGCATCCATCCATCAATCGCTTCTCCTCATTATGGTTGTGAACACTGGACCTCAACTGTGAGGCAAACTACTACAGGACTGGGCATGTGCTGCCCCTTGTTAAGATTATATATTTAAAAAAAAAAAAAAGTAATTCTGAAAATCTGTTAATAACAAACTACACACCCCTGTGCAATAGACACACCCATGCTTCATGCCACCATCATTCCCGTGCAGTGTTACCGCTGCACTGGGCCAGTATGCGCCCCTAGGACAACCCCCGGTGCGAGATGGGCTGCCCCATCTTCGCTGTACGGCCTCCACGGGGACGCGCTCCACCGGGCGCCGCGTCTCCCGCCTCTCATAACCTTGGCGACGCTGGTCACAGCGCATGCCCGCGAATCCCGGGCGACAGCTGCAGCGGCCCTCAACGTCGCAGCGTTGAGAGACGGAGCCGAGGTGGGTGCAGCGGCAGGCCGTGCACACATGACGCTCGGCATCCCACCAGTAATTAGGCTGGACCAATCACAACAAAGATCACAATGGGGATATCGGGGTGGGCGTATGACACCAAGAGAAATTAGATCATGACTGGCAAAAACAAAAATAAATACATAAATAAACCAGAAGACTTGATAGCAATCCTTTCACTTTGGTTCTCGTATTGCATTTCTGATAAACATGACAACTCGTAATCAAAATCACAAAACTGACATTGTAAAATTAATATGTGCATTAAATAAGAAAAACGTACAAATACAGCTTCCACTATTCTGCTTTTGTAATACTCTGGTCTGTTGATTTGGAGGGAGAGTTATGTTCAGACCAGTCGAAAGTCACAACAGCTAAAGTGGAGTATGGGTCCTTTAAGGGGCGTGGCCCAATTAGTCTTCTTTGTGTGAGCGTCGGGAGCTAAGCTTTGCCTTACCGTTGCTGCTTGTGGGTGTTTTTATTTTGTATTTGTGTGTTCCATTGTCTGTACCGCTCTGTAAAAAAATATGGCGCGTCTTATCACAAGCTTGCACTTGCTCCAAAATGTAATTAAGGCTTGGGGGGGAAAAAAACCTGTCAAGTTTGCCTTGTACTTAATGTGTAATTGTGAGGAAACAATGAAAAATGAAAAAATGAAATAATCACAATCATCATCAAAATATAAATGGTGCATGTCAAAACACTTACCATGCAGTCGTCACATTGGCGTCCAACCACGTTTGCCCTGCACTGGCACCGCCCGCTCTGCTTATTGCAGACTTCCGAGACGGAGCCATTAATATGGCACTGACAGGCTGCAACAGGAGGAGAAGAAGAGTCACATTTTGCATCGATGATGTGGATTGTAAGAGTTCACGCTACGTTAAAGTGCTTCAGGTCTTTTTCAGGATGAGCTGTTGACATCCACTTTACGGCAAGGCTCTTCTCTTCCCAAATAAAGTCTTCAAGCCAAGTATCTTTATTTGAGCAAGAAGAGCATTCTTGTTTTAAAATGATTACCAATGAGTTGTGAACCTGTTTAAAATATGTAATAAGCCCCGAACTTTCAATTCAGCTGACTGTTCATGTAACTCCGTAAGTGCTGCTGTTTTGGCTAGCAACAGAGTTCCAAAGAGCTAAGAAATGTGCTTTTTAATGTGTCTGTGTTTTTTTTTTTTCTCTCTCCTTGATTGTGTCTTTAGAGTGACAGCCACTAGTTTGAGCAAATGAAAATATATAAAATGACAAAGGGCCTGAAATTCAGTGCTGGTGCAAATTAGGACTGCAAAACCTCGGAAGTCTGCTCTTGACTGAGAGCCAGTCTACTTCTCAACTTTATTTAAAATGTGCATTTGCAAGTTGTACCTTACATGCCAATCAGCCTCTGAGAAGAGCAATTAAAAGCCAGAACTCCCATCTGGCAAATGAGGTTGTCAGACACGAACATACACTGACAAAAAAAAAAAGAAAAAAGAAGTCCATCTAAAGAGAAGAAGAGCTCGCCTAACATGTACGCGCTCAGCTCCTGTTAGATGCAAAGCAGACAGAAGGACAGACCCGAGTGTGGGCTGAGAAAGTGAGGAAAAAAAAAAAGGCTACAGCAGATGTCCACACACACACACGCACACACACACAAACACACGACGGAACAAGACATTTGGGCTTTGCACACAAATACAACAAGCGCAGACAAGCGCGTACCTATAACAGTACATGCACACCCCCGCGCATCCAAACATGCAAATGAATGTTGATGCAGACAAGTGTACACGCACATCTAAAAACTGTTTCACACACGCTCGCTCAAACAGTCTCTCGCCCCTCCGCTTTCACCCTTTGGGGGACCATCTGGACTCCATTCTGTCGGTCGCCACAATGCGAGCCTTGTTGCGGCCTGAAATGTGGGCTTTTGGGGGTGTTGTTCGTCAGCGCTGTCCTTTGATGAGCGGATAATAGTGTTTGTGTAGCATGGAAACGATCCCGTGTTACGAAGCAATCGGTCAGTTCATCACAAGTCAAGTGACGGTCTGTTTATTTTCAGAAAACGAAGCCATTAAGTCAGATCCTCCTCAAGTTGACGACTCAACCGCAGATTGCGGGACGTGTCTATCAGGGGGAGGGCTTTATATCTCCTATTCTTTGTTTAAATAATATCAAACAATAATATTGGTATATTTTCTTGCGGTTAGCAAGTGCAGTTTAACTCGGGGTAGAATGTTCCTACTTTTGGTATTTTTGTAGATGAGCATAGGTACAGATCGTGTTGCACGACCTGCGCACCAATTTAGCTGCTTTTAACTCGTATTAGGTCGAGTCCGCTCTGTCACCAAATTGTCAGGTGCCACGAGGGCGCGTAATACAAAATGCCCAACGCTAAATAAAGACATGCCGGTTTTTTTACGCCAAGTGCGCATGTGCCCGTCTAAGAAAATAGAGCCATGAATATTTGCAATCTCAGATAGTTGAGCTTCAACAGAGAAAAATCAAGCATTCTGCCATAAACTGAACTCCGCCTGCCAGGGCAAGAGTAGAGTTTAAATTGTGTTATTTCAAAATAATCCCCGAGGTTTTATTGATCTACGAAGCATCAACGGAACCTTCATTAAGTCAAAGGACGGAACCTTTATTACGTTATTGAATTACGATGTCGGCGCTCGTTTCCTGTGATGGAACAATTCACATATCTACTCGACAATGTCCAGAAAACCTTTCCTGGAGTGAAAAATAGTTGGTGTTATATTGTTATTGAATGCTCAGACACATCACAGGCTCACTTTGGAAAAAAAATGAATGAAACCGTGCGTTAATGTCGACCGGAGGGATGTTTATACGGCAGAAATGGCCGCGGATGTGAAAGCTGACCTCAAAGCAAACCCCAAAAACGTGGCATTTTTACAGTCTAATGGAACACAAATGGACTTGACCCAAACTCTGCGGCGCCATTCAATAAAGTTCATTAAGACTTGGAGCCATAAAGAGAGTCAGAAAGAGACTTATTGTCTTTTAATAATTCCTGCGAGTCTTTTGTCATTTGCGCAGGATCAATAACAACCCCTCCATCTCTCAGACATGAGCAGCCAATCAGCAGCGGAGCAACGCCATAGATCAGGCCGATTAATCGATAACCATTTAGCTTGGGCGGAGGGGAAAACAGCTACAGAACAATGAACTATCAAACATACATTAATAGTCAAAGTCGGCCCATCGAGCTGCCTTTGTGCTCGATCTGCCTGCCGATTGGGGAGCCTGCCTATCGCTCGTCGCGGGTCTGTTTTCACAGACAAGCAACATCTGCACATGTGTCTCTGCTTTGGATCCAGGTAGACTTTGCGTTGTCACTCTTGAACACAGCTGGCTGCCAGTGAGCCCGCTCCGACATCACACCTCCGCAGCTGCTCGTAGGTAGCCGGCCGAGCAAGAGAAGGCGCGCGAGGAGCAAAAGCAAAACACGCGCGGCGCACACACCCCAGATGGTGCACTGACTGTTTCTGTATTCAGATGAAAGACAACGGTTTGCAACAATTGAGCTTTCCGCAAAGGGAAAAACATCTATTGTGTGCAATATCCGCATCTTTTCGTGTTCTTCCTGTAATGCACTAATGTTCCACACCAAACACTGCGCTCCTTCAAAAGGCATCATGTCTAGTCACTAGCCGATAGCCGGCCAAACGGCAGACAACGGCGTTGGCTCTTGTGGGGTTGACACCAGGGTGGTAAACTTCAAGATGCAGAATTTTATTTTATTTTTTTTCTTAACTTACGCCGGCAGTTTTTCGCCGAGATGGCGTCTCCAAAGAATCCGTCATCGCAGCTGTCGCAGGCCACGCCACCGTAACCATGTCGACAATGCAGACACTGGCCTGTGATTGGATCGCAGCTGCCGGGTGTCGACAGGTCCAGGTTACCGTGGCAATCACAGGGCTGGCAGGAACCTCCTGGGACAGTGGGCTGTCCGTAATACCCGTTGGAGCAACTAGGAGGACGCAGAGTGACGGAAGATTCAGGTTAAAAAAAAAAAAATGGTCATTTCTACTGACTGAATAGGCAACATGAATTATTTGTTAATGGGAAAGGAATTGTATGCGGTGACTACGAGGACTCACAAGTGTCAATTGTTACATTGTTCCAATCATTTCTGCTTTGACATGCTCTTATTTGGTTCTTAATTAAAGGAAGTCCAAACGCTAAGACTTGGAGTGCTGCTCCATGGCATAAGCGGAGGGTAGGTGGGAGTTTGACGGATTGAGATGAAATAAGGACGGATGGGTGACATAGATAGGAGTGCGGTGCATGAGAGGACTAGAGGGGGACAAGAGGGGAAGAGAAGAGTCTTCAGATGAGAGAGAGAATTGAGTTTAGAGAGGAGGGAGCGGAAAAGGACAACGAGTGGGAAAGAGTCAAGAGCAGCCAGCCATTATTACCGCTGACCCTCTGTGGTACTCAATACGGCTGGTTTATTAGCTTTCAAGTGTGTGTGTGTGTGTGTGTGTGTGTGTGTGTGTGTGTGTGTGTGTGTGTGTCAAGAAAAACAGACTTTACTGCAAGATAGAAGTTCATCGGGAAAATACGAAAACAAATTCATTACTGTGATGCCTTCCATTGTATTCTCTTTTTGACGGTAACATTTCATTTCCAAAGAAGCTCCGGAGAAGCAATACTATTTGTAAACAGGACTCGGGCGTTGGCAGCAAATTTAATGCGTGCACTGGAGGGAAAAAAGTCGAACTCCAAATATGGCTAATTTCATTGTGCCGTTTATGCAACTCCGTTTTCCGTTTTCTAAAATTCACGAACTTCAAATCCAATCACAAATTGGTACAGCGTCTACTTTAGGATGTCGAGTGTTTAAAAATGTCTTCAAACGAACTGTCGTTGCTCACATTTCAAATAGCAAAGTCAGAAACAGCACAACCCCCATTGATGACCTTTTAAAGAAGCGATCCCTTTTATTTTCTCTCAACTTGTCCAATCAGGTTGGCCACCCCAAAAATTTGGATTCTGACCTTTACGGTCAATTAAATCATAATGGCTCGGAGCAAGTTAACAGGGACATTTGGCCAATTTATCTGTCAGTGGATTCACTTAGCAAAGACTGCACAGGCTAGGCTGCATTTGACAACATTCCCTGCTAAAAGCTTCTTTTGATCGCGCCCGAACACATGCGTGCCTTTTTTATTTATTAAATCTCCTATTTTGCAGGGAATGAGCATTCAATTACACAAAAGGTGTACAGAACAAGCACAAATTAAATAATCACGATTCCAATTATAATTAAAGTCTCCTCACTGGTTGGAAGAGGTGATGTGAAGCATAAGTGGCTGTGCTATTTTTTTTTTAATTGAAGCGAACTTTTTTTATTGAACGCTGCATTCTGTGTGTGTAGCAGGTCTTCTGTTATGGCTCTGATGGAACAATTTTGTGGCATCTTTGTATTTTCATAGGATAGCAACAAAGTCACAACTGTCTACAACTTTTTTTAAAATTTGCATTTCAGGTTTGAAAATACAATCCGTGTAACAAACAAATCAGAGTTTGTCACACTCATGTCATTCTTCAACACGTGAAATCATTTTGTTCCCGCTGAGCACCGTTGACTTCCACTAAGCGGGCTGCCCAGTTTTGGGACGAGTCCATATTTGTCACTGGTATGTACTGCAACAGCCATGATGCCCATCTGTCATTAAAAGTCTGGAATGACAGCAAGTCATTTTTTGCCTCACCCCTGAGGCTAGTGGCGTTTATAAAAAGACTTCAGAGTTTCTGCTGTGGACAGCGCAGCCAGGCATGCGGACTATGCAGGCCAGCAAGTACCCAGAGAAAAGCCACGCAGGTGGGGGGAGTACATGTAAACTCCACACAGGAAGGACAGAGCCGAAATCGAACCCTCCACCTCTGCACTGTGAGGCGGACGTGCGAACCAGTCGTCCGCCGCGCCGCCACAATTTTAACATTTCAACTTTAAGTGTTCTGCCCTCAGGCAAATGCAATCCATCATGCCTAAAGGGGGGTTAGTCTATATTTACTCCCCATGTGTCATCCAGCCACATCATAGCATGCAGACGAGTAATCCACAGCGAGGCAGACTTATAATAGAACTAAAAAGTTGATGATTCTGAATGTCAGACACGTAATGAGCCAAGCACAGAAAGACATGGGCGTGCTGGTACATATTCAAATAGTCAGAAATGATCAAAATCATATTGTCTAGGAGTATTCATATGCATGGAGAAAGCGATTTTGTTTTTCTTTACAGTGACCAGCTCCATGCGCCGCATGAGGCCAATCCCCGCTATTGGTTCAACCTTCACGATGTGTTTCAGGATGTCTTGCAAATGAGGGTTTTATACAATAAAGCTGACAGAGTACTGTCAGGAAGGCTTAAAGAAGCTGTCCATTAAGAAGAAAGTCAGCTTCAAAGGGTGGGCAGCTTAAGAGGCGAGACAGAGAAAGACCTGACGGGCTATTATCGGATAAGTGAGGATTTTTGTCATTGATTGACTGCCGCGGATGGGAGGAAATATACGAAAGAAAAACAATAAAAATAAGCAGGTTTTCAACCAGACCTTATTGAATCACTTCGAAGCACATACATTCACGTGCCACAATGTGAGGTCATCATTAAGCTTTTGTCGTTTGAGATCTACACAAATCGCTAGTGCCGGTGATGTCACAATTTGGGTGATGTAGCATGCCGTTTTGGAGGTACAAGCACCCCCTCCCCCCAACACTGGTGAAGTAGTTCTATTTATTTATTTTAGGGATCGCTACTGCGCAAGTGCAACCGTTCTCGCGTCTGTGTGTGTTACCTGTCACATCTCGGTCCGGTGTATCCAGGCTGGCACCGGTCGCACAGCAGGTCTCCTCCCTCACCAAGGTGGCAAGTTGGGCTGAAACTGTCGCGGTTGCCGGGATGCCAAAGTTTTAGTTTAAGTTGTTGATTGTTAATTCCGTGGCGTTGTCCCACAGCGGAGACGGCGGCGGCGAGAATGACGATGAGGAAGAGAGGACAGAGATGGGTTAGGGCCATTGTTTGTCTCCCTGCATACACACAGACACACCTGTCCCGGCTTTCACTCGTACGCTCTCACATTCACACACGTCGCAAGTTGTGCGCTCGGGTTTTACAAACACTCTTCCTCTCAAAGTGAACCCTAAATGAAGGCTTGTGTGAGTGAGGTCGAGTGAGAGCGAGTCACCCTCCCACTTCCATAAACTATAGATAGTTCTGCTGGCTCGGGTTCCGAGCTCATACTGGGTCATTAGCTGACTGTGAGAGCTCAACTGGCCCAGCAGGAGAAATATGCAGCACTTGTCAAAAAGTTTGGACACACTTTCTCATTCAGTAACTTGAGAAAGTGAAGCCAAGCTTTGTACTGCGACTGAATATAGATAATAAAAGGAAGTATTTGCATGGAAAAAAAAACATGTAAAAATATAGATATACAAATGTAAAAAAAAATTCTAGGCGTAAATTTAATTGTGGGAGAGGCTCCAGAGAAAAATTGTGTGAGTCATTTGGAATATTTTGACAATACTATGCTGTTAAAATAATGCAAATATAAACAATACTAATATCACTGTGGCAGTGCCAATCAATATGTAAACAATTCCTGAAGGCAGAATACTGGATGTGCTCCTTTGATGTAATCGTCTTTGCAAGGTCTTGTATGATGCATATATTATTATTTTTTTTTCAAAGTACGCAAATTAAAAGCCATATCATCCTGATCTCAGCTGTGATGGATGGAAGAAGTAATTAAAAATAAACCGAACAGAAACTCATCCAGCAAAAACATGGCGTCGGAGATGACTCCGATTACAGGGGGAACATCTTGAAATTGACTTCTGTACGAAAAATAAATATGAATTTAATTTTCTTCAGTGCACACGTAAATGAGAGTAGATGTTGTGGCGAGATGTCGATAACTGACAGAAAACGACATAGGATGTACTTAATTGAGCCCAGGTGGAAATGAAAAGCAACCACACTGAATACTAAACTGATTTTGGATTGATTCTCCTTAAATCACCGAAGTTTTTTTCTTTCTCCCCCCCCGAAGGCATTAATAAGATCTTTGACATTCTTGCAAAGTGGAACTGTCTGTCTAGTTGACCGCCTGTTTGAATGACAGGTTTTGGTGGATCTAAAGGGCTATTTTCGAAGGGGGCCGCAGGCCTGGCACCTGCAGGCTAATATTACTGCAGGGGGAGGTTAACGGGAATACTGGGGAAGCCGTGCAGGCTGAAAGAGAGATGTGTCGCTCTTTGAAAAAGTGCTCATCGCCACTGCATCATGAAAATGCTCAGCTGCTGTTTGTGTGAGGGGGGCGGGGGGGGGGGGGGTACTGCGACTTACCAAAAAAAATACATGCAGTTTTCCTAGTAAATGACTCCTCCATGCGTCGTGGCTAAGACTTTACAGTGGATAACTGTTAAAAAGACGGATTCTTTTAGATGCATGAGTTTTGATGCACTGCAATTCTGGCTATGCCTCAACTTTTTTGAAGAGCTTTTTTTTTTTTTTTTTGCGACTTAAAATGGCTGACCCAGTGGGTGGCAATGAATGGGATCACATACAAGCACCCACTGTCAAGAATGTTGCCCAACTTTTTCTTCAGCACTCAAGACAGAACAAAACAGCTTTTGAATTGCTGTCCACTGTAGTTACGACTATGCACGGAAGCAAGAAAAAAAAGGATATCACCAAAAAGGTACTTGGAAAGAATTAGACAAACAAATAGGACCTGGATCTAAACATTCTACTCACCCTTGTTCAAATGCAAGGTTGTTGTTCTACCATTAATGTGAGTGATAACATCAACAACTCATTTGGGAACAATACAACCTGTTGTAGGGGAAGTCAAAACAAAGTCTGTATCATGCCCTTTGTTGTTTGTAACGTGTTCTCTTTCTGTCCACAGTCTCTCCTTCCTGGGTTAAGTAGTGGGCGGAGTCATTCAGGTGCAGAGATTGCAATCAGTCACAAGTAGCTGTCCCTGATTGGCAGGGGATAGTATTCAGGCTCCGCCCCAAACGAAGGAAGGTTCCAGAGTGTTCCGCATGCTGTCTTGTGTGCACACTTGTGCAACCACAGTATCTGCTTCTTTTTGTTATTATTAATTTTTTTCTTGCCCATTTGGTCTGTACAGGTTATAGATGCTGTTTAATACTGGTCATATTTAGGAATCATTTCATTTTTATATTGCATCCTCTTGCATTTGAACAGGGGTGAGTAGACCGGAAGGGCATTGAACTGGAATTGGGCACTGAGACCTGCAGTGTGAATCCAGACTGTGATGTGTAAACAGCATGAAGCTCCAAATTGGTAAACACTGTGGCTTCCGAGGAGATAAGCACAAATTCCATCCGCAGCAGGTTTATCAGAACATTGTTTCCCAGCAGAACCTTATCCTTGTCAGACATTTCCAGGATGTTTGGCCTGACCATGCCTACGTTTGTATTTTGTTTTGATGACCTGGTTGGAATAATAATGGATGTGAGACAGAGAAGAATCTGTCAAATCTCCCCCCTGCCATTTTTTATGTTACAAGTCTTTATGTTAATAAAAAAAAAAATAATTAAAAAATGAAATATAGCAGTTGAACACATGTCTATTTCAAGCCGATCCAAATTTTCATTGCGCAACCCAGCATTTATTAGCTCAAGTAATATGGTTCCTTCAGCAAGACAGCTGTGATTTTAGCCGAGCAGCGGAGAGGCAACACGCCAAAAGGTTTTAACTTCCTTTCAGGGGATGGAGTCACCAGCTGCCTCGGATTTTGGGTGGCTCTCACAGTGATTCTACCCAACATTGATGACATTTACACCAACTGCTCTGATCTCTACCATCAGGCAGCGGCTGTTTTTCTGTGATGCCGTAAAAAAAAAAAAAAAAAAGAAAGTAAAAGGGCGGAGAAGATGATGATGATGGAGAGGTCAAAGAAGCAATTGAGTGCCACAGGACCCAAAGGTCAACGGCGAGAGTGAGTCGTTTCAGGACAATTTTTTAGAATTAGCTTCGGTGCCGAGATAACTTACTTGTTACTTGGCACGTTGAGAGGGCAGGCGCAGGGCTGACAATCTGTAGCTGACCCGTGAGTGGCATCGCCGTAGTAACCAGGTTGGCAGGTGTCACAGTGGGGGCCTGTGGTGTGGTGGGCACAGTCCTGGAGTAAAAATACAATATAGGTTGTTTTCGGTGAGTCCCAGATGGCAGAAGATACAAAAAACCCACCTATTGCCATCCATACAACAGCATCGTATCATGTGGAGTATACATTTTACACGAAAACAGGCAGAAAAAGATCCCAGAAAAACTGGAAAAGATCTGTAATTTGAAGAGAAAAAAAAAAAAAATCGGTGAATAAGCGAATCCACAGGTGCCAAACTGCGAACCTACAGAGGGCGACTGTAGTTTTAAGTTGTAGTCTCAACCACTAGATAGCAGACTAGATGTCTTAGTTGCACTTACATGACGTCTTGTGCTGCCCTATAATACAACGTGGGTAGGCCTAAACGTTTTTGTGGGGCTGAAATGATCTGCAGGACAAAAATATTACCGCAATAACATTGACATTTTGAGTGAGTTATTTTTTTCTGCGGGAAAAAAAATGTACAAAACGAGCTCTTGCACTTAATGGTGGTTTCTTGTTCAGCAGTTTTGTGCTGTCCTTCAATGGTCATTTTTAAGTGAGAGAGCCCTTTGAACTGGGGAAAAAAAAAAGAAATGGTAATTTTCTTATTTGCTTCAAACCCTTTGATGTTAGGATCGTGAATGTTTTATACATGCAAAGAGAAATGTATCATGAAAAATGAAATATATGAAGAGTTCATATTTATGCGATAACATGGTTTACAGAATCACAAAAATGGAGGGTAAACCCTTTCACAAATGACTAGAAGAACAACATTAAGGTTTCTCTTCAAAACGCTTTTGCAGATTATGAGGCCGACAGCAAAAGGAGAAACAAACCCGAGGAATTGAAGGCTAATGATGAGGTACAGGATGAGCATCAGATTGCATTTTGTTACCATAGTTACCGAGCGCTTGGGGCTCAAGGAGATGAGCCAGGACTTTGTAACCGATGTGCTTCATAATCAAGCAGCAAACGAGAGTATGAGTGAAAGTCAAACACGGCGGTAATTCAATTTAGAAAACGGTCGTAATGGTGAGAAGTGATTGTCACACACTGCATTTGAATAGAAATAAATAAAATGGGAACATTAAAACAATTCGCTTGTCCTGGTGGTTAAAAAAAAAAAAAGAAAAAAAAGTATTCTTTTCAAGTAGCTGCACTACAGAAGTGTGTGTGTGCGCGCAAGTATGCACTGTATGTGTGTTCCAGTACAGTTCCTGTTTAAATCAAATATCTCCTCACTGCTGACACAAGCACACGCTGCGTTAACCTGCCGAGCCAAAGGAATATTCAGCCACTCCGCCTTGGGGCCTCGATCGGTCTGCCAATCACCGTGAATGAATATGGAAACGTGTGTGTATGTGTCTGTGAGTGAGTGATTGACTGTCAAGCTGTCTCGCGTCGTGTACGAGGTGTGTTTGAGAGAGTAAAAAAGAAACAACCCACCAATCTGCCACCGGGTTCATTCTCTGCCGTTCACAACACACTTCACAGCGCTTGTGTGTGCGCATGTTTGCGTCTGCGTGCGTATGCTAATGTGTACAGCGGCCTGGATGATATGGGCGTGTATGTGTGATGATTGTATGAAACTGCTTTCCCTCAAACGGCCTTTAGGTGGTGTCTGTTTCCAGAGATGGGCACTTAACCCTGTTTTGTCACCCTCCGTCCGCGACCTGGGTACCCTTCCGTCCTTATTCGTATCATAATCGTCCTCCATCCCAGTCCGTCCTTGTGCTTTTTTGGGGGGGGGGGGGTTGACATTGAACTTACCAGGCAGTGCCCTGTGATTTGGTGGCATTGTGCAGCATGGCCGTGACAATGACACACTTCACACACACCGTCGTACAGGTTTCCATCCACTCTTCGGAATCCAGCAACACAAGCCTAAAAGGACCCATTCAACGTGGAAATTAGATGGAGTGACTTTCTCGAGTGCTGAAATTTGGAGTATTTATTATGTTTTTACTTCTACTATGCACTAGTGCCTGAGCCAACAAATTGATTTACCGGTTTATCATTTTCTGGAGACATTTATTCCAAACTGACCCCAAGGGTAAAACGCGTTGCTAATATGGAGGTGCTAATGTCAAATTGAGAAAACAATGAAGAGTTGCTTTCAGTGCATTTACCTCACATGATGTTCCGGCATATCCGGGTGGACAAGAGCACATTTCAACAGCCGATGCTTTCCGCTCTCCTTGGGCAAAGGGATAAGCTACTTGCATGGAGAATAAGTGCAGTCTAAAGAAACACACAAACACATGAGAACTTTTGAAACGGTCGTTCGTTTCAACTCATTTCATGCTCATCGAAATGTGGAAACCCCACCCCCCCAAAAAAAAACAACCCACAATTGTCATTTCAGATCGTGTGGGATCCGTTGACTCAAGGTGTTCCTATACCTGTACACAGCACTGGGTTCTGTACTGTAAGAGGCTCTGACCATCAGTCTGGTCATGTTGGCCAAGACGGTCATGAAATCCCTGCGACTGACTGGCTGAGCAGTGTCTGAAACCAGGAAGTTTTCAGGAAGCAGAGCGATGCTATTGATGCTTGGTGAGGACGGATACACGGGTCGTCCGTACCGTCTGTCCATAATCTTGATCCCACTGCCCTGTCGGAGAGAGAAACGCGTCATTCAACGCTCACAAGTTGTTTTGTCCTTTAAAAAGATCCAAATGACCTTGGAAGAAACAGAAAGAGCTGCAAATTCTGTCAAGATTTTGTGAACAGGCTCACTGAAAAGTGAATCGAGCATCGTATGTGCCGATCCGTTGTTGAGAACAGATCAATGGCATGTAGCGCTTAACATAGAGTGACGACCGCTGATGGAGAGGGAGGGGTGGGGAAAACGTCAGCCCATCATCCCAATAAGCCATTAAATAACAACGAATTGAGAGAGAGAGAGAGAGATTTTTTTTCGTGTTTTGTTTGCTCATTAGGTTTTCGTTGCCACACGTTCTCGTCAGTCCAGTTGCTTGTGTCACCCAATTATCTCCCTCAATCCACCGGTCTCTTGTCCAGAGGTGCCATTTTGTCTCGTCAATTTCTTTGTAGCTTGTTTGCTGCTTTCTTTCACTCCGTGTTGGGTTTGTTGTCGCGCTTGACTCGTGTCGCGCAGCCGATGCTGTTCCCTTGTTAGTTCCCTCGTCATGTCATGTTTCCTATTATGGTGACTGTGTTGACCATCTTTGTTTGGGACTTTGAATCTTGTTTTGGGGGATTTTGTTCTTTGAGTCTTTTGAGTTTTCCACATGCCTTATTTTCCCTTTTGGTAAATAAATGTCTTTTTGGGGGGTTTACGCCGGCTCCACACCAGAAATTATGTGAGTGGTAAGTATAATGGCTAAACATACTTGTGGCTTTCTTCCAACAATGGAAATTAAACTTTTTTCAAAAAAAAAAAAAAAACTAGATTCTAAAGAGCACAGCGGGCTGTATGTGGCCCTCGCGCCTTTCTTTGCCCATCCTGAATTTATCTGATTCAAGTATTTGTTCGACTGAAGTGATGACAGACTCTGTAACTAATATGAACACGGGATCGATTTGAGGGATGGCCACTACTTGAGGAAATATGATACTTTTGTTTGTGTCACCATCGACAGAGATACTGAATTATTTAGTGATGCGGCCTAATGCTGAAAAGCCACAAGGCAAGGATACATGTACCGTAATTGTCTTTCGTTTGATTTAAAGATGCACGGCGGTTAGCGTGTCCGCCGAACAGTCTGAGTGTTTTTCATCAGTGTCCGCCCGCATTCCCAAAACATGCTTCTGTCGACCATATTTGTTGACATGATTTGATTTGGGTTGAATTTGATAGGGAGGAGTCGGTTGTTACGAGTCCCGGTTCCCTGCAAACCTGAACAAGAGAGGTGGCTGTATGATGCGGATCGGTCAAAAAGACGTGGGAATGAACAAATACAAACTGAAAGTTCATTCATCCATTCCAGATGCATCCAATTCACACGTTTGCATCTTCGCTGGTGGCTGTCAGACAAATCCCGCATGTTGCAAGGGTTGATTTCGGTGAGACAGACAGCAGAGAGAGACGGAGAGAGAGACCGCTAGCAGCTTGACAGCATGTAGGTGGTTCGTTATTGTCATCGTTCCGAGCAGCTTTTTGTTGACAACGCGGCCGACGCTTGTCTTTCTCCTTTTCTCCTCCTCCTCCCAGTCTGTCACTCTCGGTGACATGTCTTTAAATAACATTAGCTGATTGTACTTCCTTCATTCTCTTTTTCTATACTTCTGCCTTTCCCTGTCCTGCTTCGACCATGAATCATCCAATTAGTCTTCATTCATTCTAATTAAATGACTTATTCAGTGCTGTCTGCCTTTTATTTTACAAAACCGTCCATCTTTATTTCATTTGCCTCAATTCAATGGTTCTCCTTCCCACTATCCTGCAATGGTTTTATTTAGTATTGGCTTTTAAGTATTTTAATAAAACAATTTGCAGTTGCGTCGTTAGTTTTTGAGTAGCGCGCGCACATGTACACGCAGTTTTGTGATTCAAGTTATGTAAGCTATTGTGCTTTGCCTATTGCTGCTGTTCATTATATCACCACTGGCATGTGATGACAGTCACATACGTTTTTTTTTTGTTTTTTTTTTTAAATAGATTGTTTTAATGCCATAAGTCGATCATCATTCATCAACACACGATCTGTATTTAGTGCTGTGCGTGTGTGCACACATCCATCGTGTCATTTGTGTAGTTTTAATGGGCCAAAGCCAAAAGAGAGTTCAGTTTATCAAGCCTTTATATTAACAAATGTGGGTGTGGCCATTTAAAAATGCACTGTAATTTAATGTTTGAGTCTTTGGAGATAAGGCGATTGAAGACTTACCTCAATGATTAGGTCTGGTTCCGAAGTGACTCTAATAATCTGGTCCTGCTGATCAATAGTGTAAGACACAGTGTAGACCATGGTCCCTCCATAGGCTGGTAACTGACAACAACAAGAAAAAAAAAAATGTAAACCCGGTGACACTTTTTCTATTATAAGACAAAAATCTGAACAAACACTTTTTCCCATCCCATTTCTATGCAGCGCAAGCAATGTGCTGAAACATCACTCTCGCCATTGGATTCCCAATTACTGTGCATTGTCTGGGTATGTCTGTTTATTAGATAAACAATTTAGCAGGATTTGCTGACACTGCAAATATGCGGGGCGATACTGATGATGCCCACGACAGTTGGAAAAATGTCTTTTAAATCCTAGCCGTTAAGGAAACAAATATTTAATGACATGGTTTAATGCCTGATATTAAAAGGCAGATAGTGTACGCGGTGGGTGATATTGCACAATGCTGGAGCACGACTGTCATGAAGCCCTCTGTCCCTTTTAAGATAATTGGGATATGTTTGTATGGAAGGCAATGGATATTAGAGTTGAGAAGAGTATATAAACGTTAATGTTAACGTAATTCATATTCCACAAACACAATATTAATCAGGCTATTGCGTTCAGACGAGTGCGGCCGCATAGCAAAGACATTTTTGTGTTGACTTCCCCTTTAAAAACGTTTTCATTGATTGATTTTATATGTATTCATTTATATTTGAAATTTTTTTTTAAAAGTGAAATATGAAAAGTGACAATGGAAAAATCTCAACATATTATTCCAATCATATTGTTACCAAGCGTTATCTAACCTCCAAAGTAGTAAAGTCAGGGTAATACAGGTCAACTAGTGATTGATGGTTTCTCATTCACAAAACTTTATATGCTGTCTAAATGTAATAAGAGCGCGAGTATTTCTGTCACCTATCCAAGAACCGGCTTTACAGTAGATAGCACAACGCTGTGTCAGCATGATGGCAGAATTTATTCCTCTCACTGCAACTTGAACGCTCACACAAGGGAGGGGGTTGAAGTGAAGGCATAAGAAGTAAAACCGCAAGAAACGGACAATGCTGAGGAAAAGGAACAAGAAGCTGAGCTTAGGACAGAGAGGGAAAGTTGCAAGGAGGAGTATCAAAGTGGATTTAATGCCCCTGTAAACCTCTCCCATCTTTTGCACTCGTTCTCAGACCTGGAGGAGAAATCGCCTATTACACAGTTGAATGAAAACGCGCACTGTACTGACCATTTTATTGACTAACACTTATTCTCTATCCAACCCCGTTTGCTGATTTGGACTCTGGACGCCAGTAAAATCAGGCATGGAAGGGCTGCATCATCTTCCTCACGATTAACCGGCATGCCCTCCGGTACGGATGACCCATCTAATCAAATGGAGCCAGCGCTGAATATTGTGTCGTAATAGTGCAAATGATGATACAAGCGGCCACACGATCGTACTGCTCCCCAACAACAACAACAACAACAACAAAATAATTTTTATTGGCGAACGTTCTTTCTTTTCTGAGTTTCAAAACGGCGAAAATTCTGATTGATGACTGTGATTTTAACGAGTAACAAAAGTTTCAGCTGTCTTTGGACTGTCAAGACTTCATGATGCAATAATGCATTAACTTGGAGTTAACCAAATGTTTATTTCTTGGGGGGGTGTTTGTTTCAGGGGTTGTAAGCATGTGTCAGAAGAAAATGCGTCAGATGTTCAATGCTCACAACTTCTTCAATTTCAGGCATTCAATGTGGGAAGTAATCAAAGCTTTTTTTTGCCATGGCAACCTAATGACCGAATCTCTGCACTGGGGAGAGGAAATAAAAGAAAGCCACCGTGGGGAGTAGAAAAGTGCAAGAAAGTCTGAAAGCATGGGGAGGGGTGGGGGGGGGGGGGAATTAGAGGGGACAGAAACAAAAGAACAATAGCGGCACTGACACACTGGCTGCTACAAAAGACATCAGTGCGATTCCCCCTTGAGAGCTCACTAAGCCTGTTATTAACTCTGGTGACCGAAATAAAGAGGAAGAAGGTATCATCCTCTCGGTCAGAACCCCAATCAGAAAGTTCACGTTGCTGCCGGTACAAGCAAAGCGCGGCTCCTTGAGAAAGTATCATTTTAGTCAACTCGGCCAGCGTGGAATTGTGAAGCATCATCGCACGATTTGATCGGGTCGTGCGCGTCATACGAGCATACAAGAAGCAGAAAGTGGCTTAAAAACACAGAGGGATGATTTAAAACCAAAATAAACATGGGATAGATGAGGAAAAAGATTGCATCACATTTATAGTCTCTTCTCGGGAGTGTGTGTTGGGTATTAGGTATAAAGCATGACATGCAGACACACACTTTAGTTTTCCCATGGCAATCCCACCAGAGCCTCCCATGCGTTTGCCAAGCGAGCGTCGAAGAAGTTTACATATGCAAGTAAAATTGTTGTTCTGACCTATTTTTATTTCCTCCAATCAGACGGCCATGATTTATTTATTTTTTTTAATTATAAATATATTTGCAACTTTTTTTTTTCCTGGCGGGGTGGGATTAAGCGTACGAATCGTGGACGAGACTGATTAGATATCCCCAAGATAGTTTTACTATAACACGATATAAACAAAGAAAATACAAAGACAAAAACTTTCCACGAGAGCTATTACATCCGAACAATAAATTTCACAGACAAAAAGACAAATCCGATAAACAATTCCTCTCTAAAAATGTCTCATTTGTCATTTCAAATGATCTTCTTGTCATACAGCCATAGACTCCGCAGAATACATTTTAGTGCGAGATTAAGATTGTGTCCTAATCCAATAAATTGACTAAATTGCATATCCCATCGTGTTATGTTTTTATGATGACTAATTGTGAACAGGATCACGGAATCATGATTTATTTCCCCATGAGGACCACAGGATTGCCGCGCGGGGCCCCGTTGCGCACACTTGACAGACACACAAATGTGTGTGTGAGAGACAGCAAATTATTTGTCTGACAAAAAGCGGCACGCATCCGCAGTGATTGATGCAAGGGCAGCTTTTCAGCCGTGTAAGTGAGGAAAAAATGAAGAGGGAAGTGAGGAGAAGAGAAAGCGGAATGGGCAAATCCATCTCGCGCCGTCGTCGCCGGATTAGGAGTGACGCCGCGCACAAATGTCTCACGCATCCATTCTCTTAAAGCTGGCTGACGGCCGGTGATCCCGACAGATAAATATTTTCTCGCATAGAAGAAGAGAAAAAAAAGTGATTTCATTTATCAAAGTGTGATATGTCAAAGGGGCACAAACTGGGGCGAGGTTCTGCCTTGCGTTAGCGGGTGTTGTTGGACGAGGCGCCATACCGGGAAGATGAAACGAAAACAGATTTTCACACTAACGTGAATACTTTGACGCGTAAGGCAATCCCAGCTTGTCAGGTTTTAGCGGAGTTGATGTTCAACGAGGCCACTGACACATTCATCCGTTACACGTCCATTCATTCCTTTTGTCTCCCACGACTCTCCATCTCGCTCTCTCTCTCTCTCCCTGTCACTCCTTTCCCAACGAGGACCATTCCTGTTTTTCAGCCTTTATCTGGAGTGACAGTGAATGCGCGAGTGCAGCTTGATACAAGGTGGATGGAAGCCATTAGCCTACTTGACGACTTTGACTGAAAGCTGATGAAACCGCCGATAGCTTGAATTGCTGTTTAGCCCTGAACCGCTTTCAAGAAGAATTGGGATTGAACACAAGGAGCTCACTCTGCTCACTGGCAAGTCTGACAAATATCAGTGATGGGAACACAACAACACTTGGCCGTGAATGAAGTAAAGCCACCCAATAAAAGATTCCCATACACAGCGTTAGCAGTGACCTCTAAAACATCCATCCATCTATTTTCGACCATTAATCCTGTCATGGCTGAGCCGGAGCCTATTCGAGCTGACTTTAGGTAAGGAGCGAGGTACACCCCAGACTGCTTTGCCAGTCAATCACAGGGCACACGGACACATTCCCATTCACGCTCACAATCTCATATCTGACCTAAAAATGGAGCGACGGAATCGACATCCGTTGTTCGTAACAGATAAGCGATGCGAGCATCCTTGTGAACGAGCAGCTCTTGGAGCCAGACAAGCCAGAAAATACACAACGTGCTTTCTGGACCAATAAGCATTCACTTAGCGTGCTGACGGGCCAATGAGCATCCTTGGCTTGAACGACACAGCAGGTCATGCATGAATTGAGGGAATTGTCACGCACATACTTCGACGTACATGTAGCCGCGGCTAGCTTGTCATTACACATGTCACTTCCAATGACAGGCCCTAAAGTAACAGGACGTAGTAGTGTGCGTGTTAGTCTGTGTGTGCGAGTCTGTGTGTCAAGTCACGGAGTATCTCAGTAACACGATCTTTGACTGAAGCAAATAATCACTTTTTCATACCGTGTCCGCGCAGACCGAGCAGACACAGGCATTTGTTTCTCATGTTCAGATGCATCAGTTCTGCTTTGCTGTCCGCAGCGCCACTAAAACACATCATTATCTGACTGATAAGGGTCTGACGATGTGTGTGCGCATTTATGTGCGTGCGTGTGTGCGTGCGTGTGTTAACTGCACCACATTCAATGGGATATGGGTATTTGGATTTGTTGTTGTACTAGTACGGGGATACTGTTGAAGAAGTAAAGTAGTTTACATACTTACAGAGTGTAATACGAAAAGACATCGATGCAAGAACCGATAAGGCGAGGTCAGCGTTGCGTATTCTGAAACTGGTCTGGCAGTCCAAAGTGATCGATCAGCCAAGCTGCTAAACTCTGTCCTCACTCGTAATGTGAAATCAGACAACAAAGTCAACAGCAAGACAGAGACTCTTATTTACAAATGCTTGCAATTCAGACTCAACTTTGAAGTGGACCGTCAAAGACAGAAACAAAGGACAGGACAAGAAAGCATCGAAGTTCAGAGGACACACATCCACTATTTGATCCAAATGAAACTGTGACATGTGATTTACACACGCGTAGACACACATCCTCTTCCGGCGACAGGAGACAAATAAATATGAATCCTGCGCCGACCCCGGGGGATGCCCCCGATAGGGATAGATTTAACTTCACTCTCAACTCGTCAACTCTCACAATTCCTAAAGTGATTGATTTTGAAGTACAAAGTGAGAGGACAAAGTGTGTATGTGTCTGACTTCCCAGTCTTTGTTGACCAAGTTGCGTTTCACTTTCTTGCTGAAGATCATTGTGGTGGTGGGATGACGTCAAGCAATGTTTTTTTTTTTTTGTTTTTTTGTTGGGGGGAGCTCAGGGGTGGGCAGCCGAGGGGAGTTTGGCGAGGCATGATAGCGGAACAGGAGGAGGGAAAAGGGGAGTCCTGGAGAGACAGACAGGGTGAGTTAGAGGAGGGGGGCCTCACAAAAAGAAACAAAGATGGAGGGAAGGTTGGAGGGATGAAGCTGAAGAAGTACAGACAAATAAATGAAATGACAAGCCGGCGCCTGCGGGCGGCGAAGTAATGAAATGCAGCAGCAGCAGTCTCTTCCTCGAAGCCATGACACCCAGACAAACATCACAGGCAGTCTGCTCTGGAAGAACTCCACTTCGCAAGCATGGATTCCAGCTATTTGCAAGCTCAAGTGTTAAAAGTCTAATCATGGCTAGCGTGACAAAAGAAAACAAGGCACGTGTTCAAATCGGCGACATTAGCAGAAGCAGATCCAGAGAAGCATTGCTGGGGGGGGAGGCGAGTGTCCCGGCGGGATGCGTTTTCACGAGGCCTGCTAGCTTCAGACCATTCATTTTGAGAGCACACATATTTGTTTGTGCGAGTCAGTCCACAGGTGATGCAATATAATATTTGGCATCTTTTGAAGCCGTCTTCTGTCACTTGACATGAAATCTTTTCTTTTGTTTTAACCACATCTCCATTTCACACTCTCGCCTCTCATTATCGGTACATTCTGCTATTCTTCGATTTTGTCAGATCACGTACGATCACGCGACAGGGCTTTTGTCTGATACCAGGAACCGGTGACGGCTCCGATGAAGTTTTGACAGCCGAAACTGTGAGCAATGTCAGAGAACTTTTGGTCGAAAAATTTCATTCAAAATGTTAGAAAGCTGTCACTGATTGCAAAAAAAAAAAAGAAGCTGCATAGTAAATAAGGTGAAGTGGAATCCAATGGAGAGTGACCTGCATGTGCATTAGCTGTCTATCACAGATGTAATGTCTTTCATTTTCAAGCTCACATTATATACGGACTTGCATTCTGATAACATTACAATGATATAACTTCACCTGGCAGTATGTCTACCTCTCACCTTATTGCCCAAGTATGATTGAGGCGCATTCCAGTAGTAAGCGGAGCCAAAGTTGTCCACCACATCTGCATGGTGGACGCTTAGATACCGAGGTGTCTCTCTGTGAATTGGCCAAACGATCCGTCCCGAATCTCCGCTCAGGTGCCAGCCAGTCAGCGTGCTCTCCTGCGCAACAGTCATTCAAAAAAAAGACGGACAAGGTTCATTATGAAGTTTTTCTAATTCGGTGATTCCCCAACTGTTGCGCTGCAGCTCATCACTGTGCTGTGACAGATCTGAAATTTACTCATTTACTATCAAAAAAAAAATGTTTTTTTGTCTGGTGGTTTGCTGTGAGATTTTTCTAAATGTTGGGAAATACTGCTCTAATTCATTAAAAGAAAAGAAAAAAACCTGAACGCGGTAGAACACACAACCTCCTCTGATGAGCAACACTTAAACATGTGCTAAATTTAACACATTCATGAGATACCCACTTGCTGGTTGTACTCGAATGCGTGTTATAATTAAGAAATGAATTCGAGATGATGATGACGCCTTCTTACATGAAGTGTTTCTAAGTGGCAACGCAATAACTTTTTTTTTTTGCCATTCGTTTTTTTTATTGAACTCAAATTATTTTTAAAAAGTCTGCACATCTGTCACATGTCAGCCTGTCAGTTTGTGTGTGTGAGGAACACCTCAGACACACATCTGTCATGCAATTAACCTGACCTTGGTTTACCCTTTTGAACACATGGGCAAACACACACACACACACACACACACACACACACACACACACACACACA